CTCAAATATTTTTCGTTCTTTAAAATTTGAAAATCGATTTTTCTCCTCCCAAAATCCTAAATCAAAATGATTAATTATTTTCTTATAATTTTTACATTCGCAGACTTTTCAAATATTTGGATATTATTTACAGCATAAATATAAATTTTTATTTCCAAAATTTCTTCCCCAAAAAGTCTAGGACACAAAAAATTCCATTTTGTTATCCTGTGTCTATAAAATGGTGTCACACACCGGGTGCCTGCAAAATATCCGAACCAGTCTTGAATATTCAACGTCATGTCCTGGATGACCCCCGAGGGTCCCAAAACTTGGTTAAAATGTTTTATTCAGAGTGACAACCTTTCTAATGTTTTCAAAATGATCATTGAAGAGGTTGACCATTTTAAATCTAAACGTTTGAGGCCACCATTGTTCCTCATTTTGGGCACAATGAGAACCGTTAGTCCCGCGAATTGTTCTCATGTTGAGAAACGGAAGGAGTTGGAGAACACGGAGGAATCGGCAGATGCTAACTTTGAAAATAAATGCGGGCTCATGATCGAGGTTACTCTGTATTTGTAGCAGGTGCTGAGCGGTATGGCATGACAGGTGGATTCTTTGTTTTTAACTTGGATCAACCAAAAAATGTCTGGACACATGAGTGAATCAAAAAATTAATTCATAACTCTAACTAATTTTGGTGTATGTGTCTTAGAACCCAACGTTCAACGTTGGGGGTGGAATTCTGGATCGAAAAGTCTTCTTTGATGTGGTCTAAGCGGCAGAAGGGGCCGGAAAAAAAAAATCAGCAATCGACCCCCTGCCACTTAAGGATTGATAACTCCTCCGCTAATTAATGTTAAAAAATGAAATCAAAAGATGAAATTAAAATCGCCATTAAACCGAATTGATTCAAATTTTTCATTAAGGCCCGGGTAGACTATCTATCAAATGTCATCTTTTGTTTAAATTTTATCTTTTTAGCGTAAACTACATTAAAGTTTGGGATCACATTTGTGTTGCGGGAGCTACTCGAATGGTTATAAAAAAATAATTAAATAAAAGATGGAAAATTATTGAAGGACGATATTATTATTTTTTAGCAAACTTGGTAAATCCCTTTTGAATAATATCGATCTTTAACGCCCTTCGATAATTTTCCCTCTTTTTTTTCATTATTTTAAAAATATTTTTTCATGTTCATTCAAGTGTTTCCCGCCACACAAAATTGATCCCAAATTTTAATGTATTTTAGGATAAAAAGATAAAATTTAAACAGAAGTCGTTGTTCGATAGATAGTCCACCCGGGTTTTTAATTGACTCAAAATGCCAATTGATTTAATTTGAATTCTAGTCGATTCCAAGCGGCCGATTTCGATTCCCGATTATTCGACTGGATAAAGTGATGTCATGACTCCTTGGATACGTCAGAATAAATAATATCAGCAATAAACATTGAAGTAGTAGGACGTACATTGTAAAATGCAATTAGAAATTGCAATCATGTTCGCGATGGGAGATACCGATGACTAACTCAGGTTTTTCCCACAGATCTGGCTGGGATTTTCAATTGATATTGCCACTTGGAATCATGTACTCATGAACAGCAAGCGGTGGAGACGGAGACGAGTGACATGTGAGAATAATTTCGCCGGGTGAATACCAAGGAGACCAACACCCCGGGTATTTCTATAAAGGGATATCGTCGTCTATTTATGCTCACCTAATGCTTTTCATGAAGAAGTCGATCCTCTGCATCGCTACTAAATCTTCAACATCGTCTTAAGGAGTTATTCCCCATTCCTTCTCATTTTTTATCATTTTTTACGAATTTCTGAGAAACGTGCGATAAAATTTACATCTATCGAAAAATTTTAATCGATTTTACCATCACTATATAGAATTATTATGATTAATTAAATATTTCGTCTATTATATAAATAAAAATAAATATAAAATATTTATATTTTATATTTATTTTATTATTATATTATTTTATTTTATTATTATATTTATTATTATATTTATATAAAATAAAATATAAAATATAAATTATAAATTATTTTTGAATTTTCCTAATGAAAATTCTAATTAATTAAATCAAATTTAATTTTTCGGTTTATCGAAATGCGAGTTACTTGTACATTCTAGAATCTATTAAAAAATTCAAGTTTTTACTTTCTGCTGTGAAAATTGGAATTTGCAATTGTATTTTTCCATTTTACTTGAATTCCCAGTGAAAATCATGGAATTAAAATATTTGTGAAATTAGGATCCGTAATTTTAACAGAAAATTTCCCCCGGCGAAGGGAGACCTCCGGGTAGGTTTTAAGGGACAAAGGGAAGGATGTCGATTGTGAAGACAGCTGGTCGGTTATGTACACGTCCTTGCCGCAAAAGAGGACCACGATTTCACGCAGGTCGTGAACTAGAAAACTGAGAGCCGTTGCGTAGACCGAATGCCGAAAATCCCCTCGAAAATTCCATTCATCCCCCCGGAACCCCCCGATTTTTTCACTGAAAAAAAAAAAAATAAAAATCCCAATCCCAAGTGACTGAATTCCCCGTGATTCAATTGCTGTTCAGTTGATATCTGGAGACTACGGAAGATCCCCCCGAAATTCAAACTCGCAACAAAAACTCGAAATCGGGGTGTTATGGTACGTTCTCCCGAGCCTTTCGTTTTCTCTCCATCCAAAACAGGTTTTTTCGCGCGGCCAATTAATTCGATCTAAAGTGGAGGACAGAGATATACAACTCCTCTGGTTGAGGTACAATCATGAAAGAGGAGAAACCCATTTGTATTTCATTAAGAAACCCATATCGATATTGCTCTAATAATCGGATATCATGTGGAGATCGAATCGTAAATCTTCACCACCGGTTGCATGTCGAAATTCCTCTTTTTTCCGTCATTAACCCGAAATTACAGGCAATCCGATAAATAAAAAATCGTAAACAACATTAACCTTCGAAGATACCACCGCCATTTTTTATCTCCTAATTTAATAAATTCATTTTCGCCGACATCCTCCAACTTTTCAAAGTTCTTAAAAATTTCTGATTAACAATTGATAAAATAGAAAAAATATTCCGTTGTTAAATTCCATTGATTAATTGTTTTATAATTATTTATATCAGAGTAAACGGATAAATATCGATGATAGGTGAGAAATTTAGCGGAATTTGGGGTCGTGTCAGCGATTTGAGACCCCTTTTTGGGGAAATTGATCTAGATCTCATTGAGGTTTCCGATTTCAATGATCGGGGGAATCCTAGTGCAACAAATGAGATCAGTGAAGCCAAAGGGATGGGGTAAGATGATACACTCGTGTTGGGCACGCGTGCGAAAAGTTTTTCTCATGTCCGATAAAACGGCTACCGAAGACCCGTCGACGAATGAGAAACCGTCGAGGAAGCCCTCGCCGATAAGCCTATAATTCCTGGCAATGGATATTAACTGACCAGCATCCCCATACCGTTTACCTCCAGGAGATGAAAAATTAAGTGCCACGTATCAGTCCTGATTCATGCTGATTCAAGGTTATTCGTCCCTTGAAAAAGTTATTGCAAAAATTAAACAACTCGTTTCTCCTTTATACAATTACCTGCGACAAAGTAACGGGTAATTTTTCCATTGGAAATTTTCACGGTCTCAATTCTGAATATTCACTAGATACTCAATTAATTTAATACAACAATAATCATTTAATAATCATCAATTAAAACTTATTTATTAATTAAGAAGACATCATCCGCCTGGAGAGCAGACGAGAATTTAAAAAATTAATCGTTTTATTAATTAAAAATTCAGAAAGATAATTTTTTCTTATTTTCAAAGGATGTAAATAAAATTTGAATTACATAAAAATCTCAAGATATCAAATATATTATTATTATATTATTTATTTCTAACATTATTATAAAGAATTATTTAATTTATTTGTAACGAAAATTGTTGCTAGGTTTCGCGCGCCTTTCCCCATTATTTATATTTTATATACATAATAATTAATATAAATAATAAAAAAAGGGGGAGGGAATAATTATTTTTCCGAGTGTGGTATGTAATTTTACATAAACTTATTGACGTCATCACCTGTTTTATTAAATTTAAGGGAAATTTCTGGAAGATTTTTTTTTTTTTTCAGATGGAGTGAGTACCACTGGTTATGGTTAACAGAAGGGCGCGTGCCAAGGGCTAACATCTGCCGCAGTTGGTTTTTCAGACCCTCTTTGAGTTCCACCGTCATTTTCAAGAATGATGGTACACCAATTCCCTACCACCACTATCAACGTGTTGCTCTATCGTTTTTGAATCTCCGGTTACAAAAACACTTCCGGAGGAAGCCGTTCCAGGGCCTTCAACCCCCAGCCCAACGGCTGTTTAATAAACCATATTCGTAATCTCAACCGATGAAGCACCAATTTCCGTTGGAATACAGATAATCAATATTGAAATGCACCGTGAATTTTCAAGTTGAAGAAAAAAAAAAATTGAGTCTGAGTTTCTAGGTTTCCGGGAAAGCCTCCGATTACCGGGGGTTCCCTATTATTTGGGCGGGGCCTGGACCCCTGGCTGAGAATTTCAAGAAGTACCTGATGAATCCCAGTATTTTCCCCAGAACCCCAAAAACTAGTTCATTTTCAAAAAAAAAAATATATATATCTAAAATGCCGTTTTGTTTGGATTTTTAGTTTGGGCCTGAAAGATATTGGGAGGAAGATTTAGCAGGATCTCGGTGGATTTTCCCATGCCGGAGGGCATGAGAGTCCTGAAGAGGTGCATCGAAGACCAGGAGGACTGAATCCTTAAAAAAAATGAGACTAAATAACTCGGGATGTGCCGGGGCCGAAGGGGAGCCGAGTCCGCCCGAGGGGCCCGAAGCGAGAGCAGGTAAGCAGCTGCTAGCGTATCCGCCAGGGGCTGTGAGACAGACAGAGTTCAAATTGAATATAGAAGTGAGACGAACACTGGAGAATCCATAACGTAAAGCAGAAGCAGAAGGGACAGACGCGTGTTTAAATTAGTCCCGGCACAACTGTCGTGCAAGCAACATGCTATACGCCACCGTTAACCACCGGGCAATGGTCACATCGAAATGCTAACAATCAACAAATATTTACCAAAAAATCAGTGATCAAAAGTGACAGTCAGTGATAATGAGTGAAACCTGGTGAAAATTCTAAGCGTTCAAAATTATTGGTTTTCCCCCAGTGATACCTAAAACAGAAACCTGAAAGATGAAGATCCTAGGACTGTTGTTGACCCTCTTCCTCATGGTGGAGGCTGATCTCCTGGACCTGTACGTCCAGCACATGGACGAGACGATGGGTACGAATAATATTAAGAAACATCCAAAGGATACGGTATCAAAGACTCGCAGCAAGCGGTACCTCAAGGGTGCAATGCGATACGGACATTTTCGAAAGCAACGACTGGACGTCGAGGATGACTGGTGGATTGATAAGAGAGTCCTCAAGAAGCCTCTGCCAAAGCTTCCAATTTCAAAGCCAGATGGTCTCGACTTTCCCAATCTCAAGGAGACGAATCGGAATGATGATCACGAGATCGTGAGGAAGAAGCAGCTGTTTCAGGCGTCTGAAGGATTTGATATTGATCGAATAGCTGGTGATACTGAGTCCATTGATGAAGTGTCGATTGCCCCCGGAGACGAGGTGATGCAGGTTCTGAAGAGGAATCACACCAGGATCCCGAAGAAATACCACCTTCAGAAGGAAGCAGGGGCTCTGAAGGATTTCAGATCTCCAAAGCAAAAGCGAAGCGCAAGCAAACTCAATTTCACGAGGCATGAGGTCCTTGATGAGGTCGGCGATGTCATCCTCGAGTGGGATCCCTCCGACGAGGTCATTATCACGTTCAAGGTCACCGCAAGGACCTTAGGATACGTTGGTATCGGATTCAACGATAAGAATCACATGAAGGGAGCGGATTTGCTCCTCGCCTGGATTGACGATCACGATAACTCCGTGAATGTTCTGGTAAGTAATCAATTATGATAATTAATAATCGTAATTATTAACAAGATGGGCATTCCGGTGGGAACAATAAGTTGAGTGTCTGTGGTGTCTTCTGGTTACATCTTGATGCTGAGATTTTCTGTGGAGCGATCCCTTTGGAACCTGCCCTCGCAAAAGGACATGTGAGAATTGAAGAAATGGGGAATGAGAGGTAGACAAAAGGGGCAAAAGGGAGAAAGGAAAAACCTACGGGAATTAAAGAGAGATTATGGCGACGGTGGCAAAGAGACGGGGGTAAACGATTGACGAAACAAAGGGTGGGCCCCATCGGTTCGGCAAAAATTATTCTATTCCTCTCAGTCGAATTCGTCGGGGAGATCGGTACGATCGATTGTATTAATGAGGTTCGGTTAATTGGCCCTCGGTGACAATGAAGCCGTTTCGATTCTCTCCAGTTTCTTTGTTCGACTTGAATTATTCCCTCCGTTGTCTGTCACTTCTACATTTTTAACTCCCAAATATCGGATCGACGGAAGTGATTAGGCTTGATTGATTAAATAATCGAGAATTTTTTAATCCAGAATCCGATGATGTAAATATTCTTTTGCCAAATATATTTTCTTCCCACCAGTAAATCTGGTAATCGCTGTGTAAATATTCTCATGAGATTTATTAATATCTAATAGATTTTGTTGTTATTTGTTAGTAAATATTTTTGACAGTGGAAATTTTTTATGTGCGCGGGATGATTGGAGAAAAATATCTATGAGGATCAGGTCTTAATAGAATTGGAGAAATATCTGGGAGAAAATTTTTTTAGTCCCTTTGGAGAGTCTTTGGTGACAGATTCAAGTCCACATGTATCTTCGCTGTCGATACAGAGAATAGAACATGATCAAGACTTGAAGAATTTCCAGGATTGATAATTAAAAGTTAGATCGAGTTAAAATACCAATTAATTAATCAGTGAATAAGTAAATAGTTGAGCAATAGAAAATGAGAGGGAGAGGAATATCGAGGGAGATTCATTGCGCAAAAAATCCGAGTCTCTGAAAGTTGTAGAGAGAATGGATAAATGGAATAATGAAATAATGAAATAATGAAATAATGAAATAATGAAAATGCGTTAACTACTGTGGGAACAGTATGAAACTAGAATGGAACCGGATAGAAGACTAGAGTGAGATAAATGAGGACAGAAAATGAAAAGACCGAGTGGACAGAACCGCAGAGGAATGAAGTACCTGGTTCCCTCGTTTATTCCCCCCCGTAGCCAAAACCTTCCGAGAATTCCTTAATCTTAATTAAATTTATTTCAACTTCTCGACGTCTTAAAAGCCCAGCGCATAATTCGTCGGATGGTTGCGATGAGAAAATAAAATCACCGGTGTAAAAAAACTAGTTCGAGTTGACTTGTTGTCGATAATGATCTGGCAAGTTTATTTTTATTTTTTCTTTTCCTTAATTTTTATCCTCAGCTCATTCAAAACTCTGTGGAGTGATGGATGTGTTTGCGATATATCTCGATTTACGTCAATCGATGGGTGAATTTTCGGGGGATCAATCGGAATGGGATATCATCTCGTTTCGGTGACAGACAGGCATCACCGCTTAGGATAAAAGGGGGAAGAGGGAGAAGAGGGAGAAAAGGGGGAAGAGGGAGAAAAGGGAGAAGAGGGAGAAGAGGGGGAAGAGGGAGAAGAGGGAGAGTGCGGGTGAAGAGGGGGAGAGGGAGAGTGCGGGTGAAGAGGGGGAGAGGGAGAGTGCGGGTGAAGAGGGGGAGAGGGAGAGTGCGGGTGAAGAGGGGGAAGAGGGAGAGTGCTGGTGAAGAGGGGGAGAGGGAGAAGGGGAGAAGAGAGAGAAAAAGAAGAAAAGAGGGTGAGGATACACTGGGATGTAAGAAAATGAGAGGATAAAATTAACGAAGTCCCTGTCGGGTTGAGATAACGTCACGATAAATTTACGTCTGACCCGGGCAACCGGAGAGGCACATTTTTCGATCGAGACGATCGATTCACCCGAGTCGAATTCTTACTGCGAATTTGTTGGAGATATTTGTACAGGCTCATTACATATTCAATATTTTATGGCATCAGTTGATTGTGGGGAATCAGAGATTTCACGGATTCGACTTTGATTTTATCAGGGTTGTGAGAATTTTGGAGGGATGTCGTGGTTTAGGTGGAATTCAAGGAAATTATGCGATTGAAATTTTAATATCTGGTGAAAAAATCAATAGAAAATGTAAATCTCAACGTTTTAATCAACAATCAGGTATTATATTCCTTTTTTTGTCCCTGAAATTTATTGTTTTTGTAAAACTGGTGGCGCGGATTTAATTTGTCAATTCCCAATTAATCAAAAAATTTTAATTTCGAACGCAGAAGATTTAAGAAGTCTGTTCTCTTCAGAAATTTCAATTTCTTGTTGATAATTTAATGAACAAATTGATTTTCTGATATACCTTTGGAGATGACGGGCTTTTTTAACGGTTTTCATTGAAAAATTGGGATTGTTATTTGTCCGACAATTTTCAATCGACGGTGGGTAATTTTTACTCCGATTTCTGAGTAATGAAAACGTCGGGATAAATTTTATGAAAAATTTGTCAGTTTTCGTGGGCATCTGTATCGGCTGGTGTTTCTCCAAGGCCTCCAGACACGGCCCCCTGTTGTGTTAGGGGGTCTTTATCCTCCCCCCCTTGGGCCCCAAAACGTAAAAACCTCACGAATGCAAAGGGCCATGCACCAACGAGTCCTGGCACCCCTCCCCAAGTCTCTTCATCCTCACCTCGATTTCTTTTTAGGACTCGTTATTTTATTTTAATTTTTTCATCACATCTACGAGATCCCGAAGAATCGTTACCGATTTTTTTTCTCTCCTATTGTCCTTTTGTTGTCCGTACAGTTTTATTCCTGGTGAGATGTTCGTTTCGATCGTCTCGCGAAAGAAATTTCTCACGTTCTTAAACATTTATTTATTTTAATTTTATTTTTCAATATTTTTTATGTAAAAAAGGGAAAAATCGGGAATCGATGAAGAAGTTCTGGCTGGTGTTTCGCCATTTATTTTGTTCTTTTTTCAACCTGCAAGAAACACGAGCAGAGGATATGAAGGATAAACAGAGAATTGCTCATTACCATACCCGTAACGACATTCTCCTGACATAATCCACGATGTGTATGATTTACGATTCTTCGAGTTTAGTGATGCGAACCGGTCGGCCACTGAGAAGATGCCGAGTTCTCAGAGATACTATCACTGAGATATTGCAATCGAAATGACCTCTCTCTATTTTTAAACGATATTACACCAAGACAATTAATAGAACGGATGTGACATCACGGATCGGTAGACTCCATTTCCTGCGAATGTTTCACGTGGTGCGTTCTCGTCGGTTATTCCAATCAGGTTGAAAAACCACCGAGGAACGTCGGTCACAACGCCATTCCCATGTTCATACACTTTAATCGTGGAATAAAAAATAAGGCCCGTTTTAAATTCTCATGGCGTGGTTATTCCACCAGAAGTGCGCCTAAAAATAACGAGAGGATGATTGAACCGTAAAATATATCACCACTATAAAGGAATTCTTCATTTTATCCTACCCGAATGCTCCACCATTTTGTGCAATTAAATTTCGAGGATTAACCGCGCAATTTAAAAAGACGAGAACGAACTCGCGGTACAGCGAGCTGTAATTATAAAAATCGTGATTAAAAATTGTTAATTTGAATGAGTTTCAAATTCAAATTAGCCGCCTCAGACAACTGAACCAATGGGGAATAAGCGTGACAGACTTTCGAGATATCGATTGTCTCGATATTTCTCCTTTTTAGAATAGGGTAGTCGCAAAAAATAATTGACGCGATCGTAGAGTTATCGGTATTAAAAAAAAAATTAAAAATAAAATGAAGGATTGATTCGATTGATTGCCTCGCGCAAATTAATGACAGATGTCTCGATAAAAAATCGTTGATTCGAGAATAGTAAAAATGGTTTTAATCAGTGCAGAAGACTCATTAGAGGAGCTGGTGAACGTCCGTGGAGAAGTCCCAGTGAGTCTTCATAAACCGACAAGAATGCTGAAGTTTCAATATGAAAAACGAAATAATTACCGAGAGATTGGTAATGAGAATCCGGTGAGGCCCTAACAAGGCCCCGGTACAAATACCCTAACCTCGGAGATAGCAATCCGCAACATACACTCGTATCCACAGCCCAGAACCGCCCTGCGAACCGTTGAGCATGACGACCAACGGTTGGCAATTATTTGGATTCATTACGCTGTACAGGAAAGGTACTTCCCTTCTGGGAGGGAAGAAAAAAAGGCCCCCCTTTACCGCGGCAACCGTGCGCCTAAGCCTGCCACCATTCTCTTTTTCAGACGTGTACTCGATTGCCTCTCCTTCGGAGAAAAAGAAAAAAAGAAGCCGAGGGGTGCTTTTCCGTTCATTCATTGTCTGTCACAAAACATGTACCCTTTCCTTTCATTAAACCCCCCAGCCCTTCTCCTCGCCTGGCCCAAAAAGTCCCACGGAAGATAGTTCTCACACTTGATCACTAAAGGTCTGTTAAATTTCTGGGCCTGACGCTTAAAATTATTTCCCTGCGCACTTTAAAAGTTCTATTGGAATAATAATGATTGGACAAATAATTGGGCCTTATGACTAGCGTCGTGGGAAAAATGATGGCTCACTGAGAGGTGCGATGAGAAAAATTCGGGGAATAATTGTTGAGATGGACTTGATGCCCCCGATGCTCCCAAAATATTTGGGCCCGATAGTTAAAGGACCTTTCTTTTTTTTCAGGATTCGCACGGACTGGAAGACGACAATGCAGCACCGGTTGCCGACGAGTCCCAGGATATTGATATTCTCGGTGGTTCTCAAAACGACACCCACACGATTATAACATTCTCGCGACGTTGGCAGACCTGTGATCCCGAGGATCGTCACTTAAACGTGAGTCCCAAAAACTATTTTCACAATTCAGTGCAGCAATTCCCCAGTATCTCGAGAAAAATTGTCGAGCCGTGACGGCCATAGAAATTCTCCCTTTACAGAAACCGCCACGTGAAATTCTATTGATTCAAGAGATGGTTCTGGGACACCTATAAGTCCCGAAACCATTTCTCAGGAGGTGGGTCCGTTCATTCTCTCTTTCCGCGCCGAAAAATCGTCATTCGTGTTTCGCAGCGAGACCCATTTGAGATTCTCGGGATACCTGGTGGCATTTAGGCGTTTAGCATGCCGCCTTTGGGTCCACTGGGCCCATTAAAATACTTATAATCTCAGGCCTTGCATTTCTACCCATTTTAGCTGAATTTTTCGCCACACTTCGCCGCATCATCTGCACTATCTCAAGTAATCCCTTAAAATAAATACCGAGACCTAAAACAGGGCCTCATGGGCCTTACACATCTCTGAAAATCACCCCTCTTGTTCATTCTGTGATCAGAAATAAATGATTGCAGCCTATCTATCGCTAGAATTTTATAGAGCCTTCGGGTCCTAAAAATGAATTATTGGGTCTTAATAGAAAATTTTCCAATGAATTATCCGCAGGAAGACAACGTGCGGGTGCTCTGGGCCTTACAAGATACCGACCCAGAACTAAATACCCCTCTCTGGCATGGCGAAAGGAGGGGAGCAAGGCCCCTAAGACTCGGTGGAGCAGTCCCAAAGCCCCCACCACCCCATAACCCCGACATCAGACACTGGGACGTCAAATTAAATCAGGTTTGCAATCAATTAACCCAACAAAATCGACAATTAACACGAAAAATTCGAGATAAAACGTCTTCATTTGCAATCTTGATTGCAGTTCGCTGTCGATGATAAGCAGGACACAATTTACTGGTGCAAAATATTCAAGGCCCCACCATTCAACAAGAAGCATCACATGATCGGGGTAATTATGAAGATAAATGAATAAATCAACAAAATATATATCCTAAGATATGTTCCCAGTAAATTTTCCAAATTAATCAACAATAATAATTATTTATTTACTGACCAGTACGAGCCGCTGGTGGAGAAGGGCAATGAGGGATTGGTGCATCATATGATCCTCTACGAATGTGCCTCCACGTCTTCGGAGCTAGGAAAATACTCGAGAATTGTTGGAAGCTACTGCTATGATCCAACGATGCCGAAGGAGTGGGAAACGTGCATTCGCCCGATCGTCGCATGGGCCCGAGGAAGTAAAGGTTCGTCTCCACCCTGACTCACCTTGACTCACGAAAAAATCATTCCTTCCAGGATAATCCACCCGTGACAATTATCCATTCGAAATAAGTCATTCTTCTCGAATAAATAAATTAAATCTCAATAATTCGAGGACTGACTAGATTTTTATGTTGATGTTCCATTTCCAGGGGAGTGGTTTGCAGAGCACGTGGGGATTCCTGTAGCTGAGCACAAGGAGGGGTCCTACATGCTGGAGGTCCACTACAACAATCCGACCCTCAAAAAGGCAATCGACAGCAGTGGAATTCGACTCCACCTGACACCCGTCCTGAGGCCCAACGAAGCCGGCATTTTCGTCGCTGGTGTAGCCGTCAGTCCTCTACACCTCATACCCCCGCGACAAAGGGAGTACGCCACTGCGGGGTACTGCAGTCCGGATTGCACCGAAAAGGTAAATCCAGGATAATCAAGAGAATTCTGAACTCCAATACCTTCCTCTGGGGTTACAATAGTTACGGGTAAAAAAATGTTGCAACAGTTCTTCACGCTTGTTATTTACCCCTGCAGCTTCTCCCTGAGGACGGTGTCAACGTGATATCAGTGGTCCTTCACTCTCACCTGGCGGGTCGCCGACTGAGTTTGAAACACATTCGTAACGGCCAGGAGCTCCCACACATCGCCCACGAGAATCACTTTGACTTTGATTATCAGCAGTCGCACAGTCTCGCAGAGGAAGTGAAAATCCTCCCAGGCGATGAGCTCGTAACCGAGTGCGTCTACGACACTCACGACCGGCCGAATCCAACGCTCGGTGGTTACGCCGCATCACAAGAAATGTGTCTATCCTTCGTTGTTTATTATCCGAGGACAGAACTTGCTGGATGCTATTCAATGACACCAGCTACTGATCTCTTCAAAACCCTTGGGGTCTCAAATTTCAAAGGGGTCAGTCTCGATAACCTGGAGAAGCTCTTCCTGACCACAGGGTGAGAATCATCTATTCTAATGAATTTCTTCCCTTTTTTTATTCTTCTCCCATTGGGGAATAACAAACAAAATTGTTGAATATGGTTATGGTTATGGTTAAAAATACGGATAGGCATTTGCTGCCCTCTTGTCACCGAACCCCTACTGGGCTATTGTCAAAAAATTGTTGAATAAGGGCGCGTTAAATAATTCAGCTAGTGTGAACCCCACAAATTCACGTCATTGAATTCGACCCAGTTCTTTCTTGACTTCTCTTAGTTTATTAGTTTCTTATTAAATTAATTCATTCAGGGGAATTTTTTAAAGCGAATACGATAAGACCGGAGACGCAAAATGAAAGAATGACAATTTCCAGAAAGACAATTCGCGCGTGAATTTAGTAGAATGTGAAAAGGAAAGATACACAGCATTGTTATCGGGAATGAGAGATCTTCAGAGTTTTTTTTAAATTGTTTTAGGGTGGAGGCTGTAACTCTTCCTACGATAGTGCAACAGCAACTTCCGGTGTATCCAGCAACGAGACCCAGCGAGGAGATCGACGAGACGGTCATAAAAGAAACTGAGACCGCGATAAAAGCTATAAAAGAATTCACGGAACAGGTTACGGATGACAATGTCTTCGCGAGGCTTGTTATCGAGGAGCCGAAGGAATTTAAGGGGCGAACTCTGGCAGAACATATGTCGGCGTTAGCCTGGACTGACGAGTTGCTTACGAGACCCATCGAGAATACACTCTACCATGGGAGGCACATGACTTTCTGCAGAAAGAGGGACGACAAATTGGCGATTGTAAGATTATTTTCATATTAATTCCAAATCTTCATTAAATCCTTTCAAAATCTATCATAAAAACAATCGCAAGTATTAAAGAAATATCTAAAGACATAATTCTCGGAGGGAATGATGAACTGGAAGGTCCCGGGTTCAAATCCCGGTCTGGACACTCCATTTCTTCACTAAATTTTTATAGTCAAATTATATCGAGAATTAGAAATCGGGAATTGTTTTTTTACCTAATTAAAAATTCTATCCGATTCCCTATGACGTTATGACGATGAACGTTTTATAAATTGTCCATCATCTACAGGTTGATAAATGCGTTTTTATATTTTAATTGCAGCCTTCGGACATCCAGAGCTTTCCAAACTTCACGAGATTACCCGAGAAGAATCAGACAGTCTGTCGTGAAAGAAGAACGATGTCCTCTGGAGCGATCTCAGTCACCCTCACAGCTGCTCTTTACATTATCGCTTTGAGCATTTCCCTCTGCTGATGGAAATAAATCCCCGAAGCTTCTCCAAAGCTGTACATTCGGAATCTACTGCAAAAAAAAAGAAGTTGTATTAATTGGCTCAAATTATTTATTTATCAACAACTGTTTTCAAATATTTTTCTACTCCGTTTTTCACACGTTATCCATCGATCGACCGTTGGACATTGATCGTCACGTAGTGAGAATAATTATTCCTTGTCTAGTTATTATTTTAATGTAACGTTACGCAGTTTTTTTTGAAATTTTGAGAACACGTGTGGTGCCGAAATTTCTATGAGATAATATAACGGAGAAATTGAACGATGTACATAATATTTATAAGATGTATTTTGTAATTTTTTATGGATTGAGAACTGAGAGCTTTTGCGGAGCATATTTTTAATTTGTGTATAAAGAAATCATTCAGGAATTTGTCTTTTTATTCCCCCCACCCCGACCCAAAATTAAATACTCAATTCTCATTAAACTTGAATCATTTGTTGTCGCAATTTCACTGGATGTTCAAAAGTCAAAAGATTTGTGTATTTTTCTCGTTTTATCGCGATTGTAATTTGAAATAGAATTTTAATAAAATGCGGTGATTTTTTTTCTATTGATTTCTTCTTTCATACGATTCATCTCGTGTTATCACGAACGATTCAGTTACAGTTTAATTTTCCACTCAGTTGAATGCTTCATTCGAGGAGTTGCGGTCACACTTTTTCTCTTCAACCCCCAGGACATTACACATCCCTGCGCTTCGAATTTACCGACGTACGTCAGACCGAGGAGGTGCCCATGTGGCGGTTGCTGATAACCACAGATTGCACTCGAATCGAATTATCTCGAGTTCAGCCTAGGCTGTATAAAACGGGAGTCGCGAGGGTGCGGTACCAGACTCGCTGGAGACACCGCAGGGTCCAGAAGTGCTCCGGAGTACCTTTATCTCAAAGAAAAAGAAATTGTGCGGTCCAAACCGGAGGTGAAGAGTTCCTAATCCATCAGCGATCACAAGATAAATCCAATTACCAGTAATCTTTCGCTCTTTTCCAACATCTCAGGCGCTTCCGGTAAGTAATAAAGATCTAATGATTTATTATTGTGCAATTGAAACGGAACGGTGGAGGAATTCATATTTTTCCCCAGGATTTTGTCAGGATCATGAGACGCACTAGGCACATGGTGCTGCCTGTCAAGTCCTGGCAGTACATCGGCTTGATGATTGTCTCATTAGCTTGTCTAACCCTTGGACTTGTCTCTCGAGATCGAGAAGGAAGAGCTGGCAGTCTCGCCGGACCGGAGTTGAAGCATACTGCTCCCCACGAGTGAATACAAATTTTTTCACTGAGATAAAAAATTAATTCTAGATAATAGAAATTAATTTTGAGATGTATGCAGTTGTACATGTCCATGAATAATTAGGGCTTTAGCGTTGAAAATCGGTCATAATATAATTGAATTGAAGAGTTACGTTGTTTTCCCGCCATTTTGGTTGCTAGAATGGTTCATAAAATGGCGGATAATTCAAATTTAACGAAATATACTTTATTTTTTCGTCAATTTTATTAAATATTTAACAGGATCACAGAGAAATTGAAGACGTGCCCGATTTTTTCCGCCATTTTGACCGTCAGGAAAGGGGCCGGTCCTTTTACGACTAATCGTTCATTGAACAATCGAAGATTGTTCGCAGAACCTGCACATTCGATATGTAGAGGCTTAACTATAAATTAAAATTCTTTTTTTCTTCATTTAGAGTGGACGCATGTCCTAACGACACTCCATTCGCTCACCGATTGCCTTCCGCTGACGACATGGCACCCGTAGGGTTTGATCCGATGACACGAGCCTCGAAATCCCTGGACCATCCGCGTCAGCGAGAATCGAGAAGGACCCTCGATCGATCGGGAGATCGTCGAATCGTCCGAGATTCGCGCACCGAACGTCGCGGAGAAACTAGAGACCATCGAGCTCTGGAGAGTGAAAGACTGATGCCATCACGCGACGCGAGATCGGAGCGACGACAATTAAGTAATCGTTCCGGCGATCGTCGATCTATGTCCCTCGATCGCATTTCGAGGTCGGAGCGAGTGCGAGAGGTTCTGATTCGACGGACCGATCCGTCGCGACTGTTGCACCGCGAAATTGCGGAGAGACGATCCTCTAACCGCGAGAATCAGGAGAGACGGGATTTGAGACGTGTCGACCGCACGATCCGATCTCGATCTATCGATTCTGCCGATCGACGAGTCCATCCTATCGATAGAAATCTTCGGTCCGTCGAGCGAAGGCGCGTGGAGCGTACAGCACCGGAAGTAGACGCCCGAGAGCGGAGAATCGCGGAGAATCGAGTTCGAGATGTGGAGGGGAGAAAATCGAATGCCGGCCTGCGATTTCATAATCGCGAGCGATCGGCGGACGCGAGGATTGAGACTAGGAGAAGCATCAGGTCTGACGAGCGACGATCTGTGGAACGGGACGATATCAGGAGTTCAGAGCGTCGGGCGCGTGTTGCAGATTCGAGATTCGACGTTCGACGATCCAGTATCCGGTCCGAAGATCGGAAATCAACGGAACGGCTTCAAAGATCGAGAACAGAACATCGTACTGCTCCTGGAGTAGATGCCCGAGAACGCAGAACCATGGAAAACCGCCTGGAAGAGAAACGATCGAGCGCCGCTCAACGATCTAATAATCGCGAGCGATCGACGGACGCGAGGATCGAGTCGCGACGATCTATCCGTTCAAACGACCGACGATCTGTGGACCGCGTCGACACTCGACGATCCAGCGATCGATCGAATGATCGGAGATCATCAGAGCGAACTCTAGATCCTCAAAACCGCCGGGACTCCAGCCGACGATCGTCAGATCGTCTCGTCACTGAGAGAATCAACATTCGAACCGACGATCGACGATCCGAACGCAGTCACATCCGTCGCACTCGTTCCCACGACGAAAGGCGATCTATTCCTGATACCAACCGTCACGACAAGCGCGAGAAAATCGAACCGGAAGACCGGCGCAGAACATCGCGTCTGGAAAACGCGGAGGAGCGAAGAATTGTGAGGGAGAAGAGGACGGATCAGAGCAAACGCAACCAAAACTACCTCGCAACAGTACCTAATGTAATCGACAACAAAATAATCGCAAGAAGCCCTAATTACGAGACTTTGCGACAAATTTTCGTGTTGGCGCTCTGCACAGTATATACCGCATCCCTTTTCAAACAGAAAAGCGGATTTATCAAGTAAGTTTTTCTCAAGAGTTATTTCCTGAAAAAATGACTCGGTCTCCATTTGAATCAAATAAACAATCTTCTTTCTTTCCTCTGTTGCAGAAACACTTTCGCTCACGCAGCTCGTCTCCTCGTCTGGTAAAATCAGCAGTTATTTACTGACACTCAATGGCAGTCCTAATTGAATAATCCAATTGCAATCTGCAAGTAGCTCTAGTTAACTTCTCGTGAAATTTTCCTGTAGCTTTGTAGAACCGTGCACTCTGCCTGGTAAATAGAGTAGAAAAGTTTTAAAATAGTGTAGAACTAAATATGTACTTACCTGTTACTTGATGTGCGCTGCCTCATTACCTTATCCTGATGTTGTTAAAGATGTTCATTCAATAAAAACTATTTTTCGTGGCACTCCGTAGTTTCACTTAGTCGACCAGTCACAAAACGAAAGACAACGGAACTCTGGACGAAAGAGATCGATTTATTCAAGATTATTTTGTACATTGTCTTGCAGTTTAAAGCTAAAAAGTGTCATGTAAAAAATGAGTACATTTTTCGTGCAATACTGTATCCAATGGAATTATCTCAAGACGATATCTTCCCCGAAGTATATCAATAAATAAATGATGATTATGACGTACATATTTTAATCTATACAAAAGAATTCGTTGACTGTGATGCCTACCGTGAATACACGCTATAATTATCAGAATGAGTATAATCTATTTACAACGAGCAATATCAGCGAAAAAATACGTTCGAGGGTTCTGAGGCCTCTCCTCATTTCACGGAAGATTTCTTTGTTCCTTTCGTCTGGCAAGATCTCAGCGACATTTAGAGAGACAAATTCATTAAAATAAATGCTAAAGTTTTTGGTTCAACTCCAGCGGTAATATCTTTGGCAGTGATCCCAATCGATCAACTATCAATCATTTAAAATAACTTGTAATTGATATTTCGATAACTACTGAGGAAGATCGATTGGACATCAGTATTTGGCTATTTGTACAAATCGAAGGAGATAATGCCTCCAAATATACGGAAACTCAGGTAAAATCTCGATAAAAAGACTGCGATAGCCGCTACCAAATGAACTGTCGAGACCACATCACAGAATTCTAAAAAAAGTACTCTAGACATTGGCAATCTCCTGTAGCATTCCCAAAATATGATCTAACTCCTGTCTGAAATAGCAGAGCTGTTTGTTCTTTCCTTTTTCCCCTTTGCAGTCGCGGCACAATGTCTTGTTCCTCAGCAGATCCCTCACCAGATTCTGAAGTGTCATCTCCCTGCTCTCGTGCCTCTGCTGAAGAATCGTTATCTTGTCCTGAAGTAGTTGTAGCTGCTCAGTCCCCGGTGTGCTTAAATACTTAACCTTTTCATTCAGAATCTTCACCTTGTTCTCCAGATGTTCACGCTCCACTTTGAGAACAATCACCTGTTCCTTGTAATCTTGCAGCTTATCGATCTGCTCCTTCAGGTGCGCGATGATCGCTCCCTGCGTGTTGATCTGTCCCTGAAGCTTGACAACCTTGGAATCCCCAAATTTGACGCTGTACTCTTTAACGAGAGCCGCTATCTCTCGTTCGTGCTCCTCCTGTAGCAGATTCAAATCGTGCAACCGCTTGTTCTTCAGCGTCATGTAGTCCTTGTTCATTTTACTCAACTCTTCCTTCAGGATCTCGTTCTCACCCGTCAATCGCTTGACAACAGAGCCCTCACCGTCCTCCGAGAACTGCAGAGGATCGTAAAGTCTCTGCGCCGAACCGGAGAGCTTCTGTCCATTGGTCAAATGCCCATTCTGACATACATTAGAATTCTGATCACTTGCTTCCGACTTCGAGCTCTTAATTCTCTCATCACCCGTTCGAAAGCTTCGACGATCATTCAGAAGCCTCTCCCGCTCCTTCTGCAGGCGGCGGTTGGTCTTCTGGAGCTCCTGCAGCTCCTTCGTGAACTTCTGGACACTCTTGTCTTTGGTCGCAAGCTCGAGCTTCAACCCTCTTATCGTGGCGATCAAGTGAGCATCCTCTTTAGGATTCTGAGACTTCAGATTAGGCTTTCCATTTCTAATCTCTTTGTCTGAAGACTTCTGTAGCCTCTCCTCGTCTCGTTTCGCCTCGACGCTTTTATTCTCCACGCTTTTAGTCATTGTCTGCGTGGAAACCGTGGACAGGCTCTTGTGGACCCTGGCCAAAGCGTCTTGAAGTTTCTGCTCGAGCTCGGACACTTGCAACGAGTACTTGTCCTTCATCTCCGCGAACTTCTGCTGCAAATCCGACAACTTTTCTTGCCCGATCTCTTCCTTTGCTCGCAACTCGCCCTCCAACGATGCAATCCTGTCCTCCAGGAGCTTGATTTTCTCCAAATTCACTCTCTCGTGATCAGACTTGGCGGTGAGGATCAAAGCGGATACCGAATCCGGGTTCTTTCGTTTAAGAATTCTCTCCATCTCGCGAACTTGACGATTTAAATCCAAAATCTTCTTGTTATCCAGAATCACTTGATCTTTGAGTTTTAGCGTCAGCACTTTTTCACGCTCCACGTGACTCCTCGCCACCTGGAGCTTCTCCTGCAAGTTCTGCTCCTTAACTCGAAGCTCTAGGAGCTCCCGCTCAAGTGGTGCTATCGCCTCCTGGAACTTGTCGAATTCTTCATTCGTGATTCTAAGCTTCTCCGTCTTCGACGAAAGCTCGAGCCTCATCTCCTCCATCTTCCTCCGCATATCGACTTCCTCGGTCCTCATGGACTGCAGCCTATCAGTGATGAACTTGTCTTTAGACTTCAATTGCTTCTTGAACAAGCTGAGCTCGTCCTCCAGAAGACTGTTCTGCTGGACAACATCATCGTGCTTCAAAACCAAATCAGAATTCTTCTGCCGAAGATCGGAAACTTCCAAATTAATCGTCAGGATCTCCTCACGCAGATCCTTGATGATGTCATTGAGTTTCTGAACTTCTTCAGACGACGTAGGAACATCCTTGATCTTGTGCTTCTGCTCAAGACTCCTGATCTCTTCTTGCTGACGTTTTGTTTCGATCATCAGCTTTTTGTTCTCAGTCTCATAAGTTCTTATCAAGCTCTCCTGCTTCTCCAGCTCCTTCTCCAACAGACCAACCCTCGTCTCCACTCTTGATCCAGGCACCTCTATTCGTCTTTCGCTCGCTTCCTTGAGAGTAAGTTCGTCGACTCTGGCCGTCAGAATGATGTTCTGCTTCTTCAAGGCGAAAAGCTCCTTCTCGAAGCATTCACGCATGTTGTGAATCTGTTGCTTGTACAATTTCGCCTCGGATTCGATCTGATCGCGCATGAGTGCTGTTTTATGCTTTTCCTCCAGGTAGAGCGTCTCGAAGTCGTTCTTCGAGAAGTTTCGACGGTTGTCACCACCAGCTAAGGTCCGTTTCAGGATATTCTCAGGTGTTCTACCACGAGAGGTCAACGGCTGCTTCTGAACCGTCGGTTTCAAAGACAATTTGACTTTTGGAGAAGGCGCCTGAGACCTCAGGGGAGCCTTAGGATTTTTTGGGCCGGCTCTTACACCGAGGGGCGGTTTTTTCGCGGTCTCAGGTGACTTCGGCTTCCTAACGTCGTCCAGAGACGAACGAAAAGACGCTGTTGGTCGCGAGAGTTGATCACAGCTACGCGAAGGCCCTATAGTGCTAGTGCGGGTGGGGACCTTCCTCTCTGGGGGCCTTAGAGGCTTCGGAGGCAGGTCACAGGTCTCACGATCTTCGAGGGGTTCGGGCTCTTTTGGAAGCTTCTTATCATCTCCTGGTGATTCGCCGGACTTTCGCGGAGTCACCTGGGGAGACTTCTGAGAAATGACTTCGGATCTCTCCGCCAGAAGTTTCGGAATCGCGTCAGCAAATAATTCGAGTCTCGGTGTGAGACCAACTGTGTACAATTCAGTCTCCGAATTCGGAACTTTTCGGATTTCCGCTTTGTTCGATCTATCTCGACTTGAGTTCCGAGATAGCGCTGCGTCTCGTCTCGATTCGGCCTCATGTGGCTTTGACTGTTCATTACTGGCGCTAGAGTCGGAATCTACTATCTCGTGAGTGTTTTTTGATCTGGGAGATTTCTGTATCTTAGGGAATTCTTTTTCGAGAATCTCTGCGATCTCTCTCTCGGGGAAAATCGGACTAGGATCACCCGGGAAGCCCCGAATGGTGCCAGTGTTGCCTGGAAAGTCCCGGATCGCACTAGAATCGGTTGAAAAGCCGCGGGTGGCGCTCGGATCGTTTGGAACACCGACAATGACGTCAATCTGGTGAGAGAAATTTTTGGAGCCCTCGGGGTCAGACTTTCCCTGGAGAAGCTTAAGGAAGTGAGAAAAGTCCTCCTGACCGAAGCTCGAGCTTCCAGATATTCCTCCCTCCATTTTCTCTCGCGATTTCTTTAACAAGTCGTCGAAAAAGTCTTTGTCGACATCTGTTATCTCTTTTTGGAGATTGACTTTGTCCTCCTGAGCCTTCTTCAGGGACTTGAGATCCTCCGAGTTCGAGTGACGCTCGATAGGATCGTCCAGGTCCGAACTACTCGAAACTTCCACTTTTTCCTCCTCGAAGTGTTTCTTCTGAAGTTCCAAGGGCGTCGGTTTCAAAATATTGTACGCATTATGGTCCGGACTCACGGGACGTTTCTCATTTCTCGGACTCTTTCGAATTTTCTCAGTCTCTTTGTAGACCTCTTGTTGAATCAGATCGAATATGTCGTCTTCGAGATTTTGCGCTCGCGATTTCGGGGGTTTTAAGGCTTTAGAGATTTTGGAATTGTCTGGGGATGGAATTAGAGTTTCGGAGCGAGAGGAACTTTTTGATAGGCTTACATTTTCGCGGACTAATTTCTCAGCTTCTTGCAGCAACTCCTCGACGGATTTTTCCTCCTCGGTGGGATTCTTCGAGGAAAGGGACTTTGAGCGCTCACGGGTGGAATTCGGAGAGAGGGCACCGGCGATTTTACTCATCTCCTCGAGGAAACTCCCGATGTCCTCGTCTGTAGCGTCTGGAAGAATCGATAATTTATTTAAGTCAGTATTGAGAAAATCGCCCTTACTCCAATTTTCGGTGGGGGATGTAATTAATTGAATTTTACGGGTTGAATTACGTCACTACGTACTCTCGAAATCCTCTGGGTACTTGTCGAATGCAGCCGATGCCAAAATATCACAGAGAGTGTCGTCTTTATCTCTCCCCTCGGCCTCATTTTTGTGCACCACCTGAAACCCAAGACAAATATTTCTCCTGACACTATAAAAAAATTATTCCAATCATTTCTAAAAATTGAAAATAGTCTAATAGATAAAATAATCAGATAAAAATTAAAGAATCATTAAATTGGTTTCGTTTCAAATTATTAAATGTTTATAATATGAAATCAGTGGTAGTTCCATGAATTTTATAATTATATTTTGTGGCTTTACCCTGCAGTATCTCTCCTTCTCTAGGAACTCTCTCATGGACGAAGTGCCTTCTGGCGAGTGGACAGATTTAACTCTCGATTTTCTAGACGAAGAGGAACCAAGTCGAGTTTCCGGACGTTTCAACCACCACTGCCTCTCAGGATGCTCGACACGAGCCCCTGTACCCACATCCTCAAGGGGTTTCCAAGATTCTTTCAGAAGAACCGAACATTCGCCCGGGCTACGACTCAAGGATGACGGCACAGTGTCTTCTTCACTGATTGTCACCTACCCAAACAAATTCCAATAATTTTTTTAGAAGAATTTGTAAATGGTATTAATTACAAAATTAATACTATTTGTGATCTGAGACTAGTACAGAATTCCAGTGATTGAGGTTATAGAGGAATAGAGATTATCGGAGAACTTACGTCCTCGGTCGGCCCCGCGTCCTCATTATCCTCCGTCATGCTCAATTATTATTAAAAACACTAGGAGTCAACGATCGAGGGATCATCGTCACGGCGTCAGTTGACATCACCTACTTGTTTGTTTGTTTTTTTGCGGTGAGAGGTAAGTACAGAAAAAACGGTTGAGACCAAGGAGGATTGACTGAAGTAGAGGCTCAGTTCTGGGGGTTTGAGTGACCCCAACGGCATCGTAGTACTGCACCCCAGGAGAGGGCGTCCCACGCAATGCTGGGGTGTCCATCACGTTACCGACTATACTGAAGTCAGCATAAGTTTTAACATTGATTTTAGGAGTGGGGGACATGGTTACAAGTGGTAACTACGTGGAGTGGGGGCACCCAGAGAAGTAAAAACTTATGGTAACTTTAGTATAGATAACGCGCTCACTATAAAAATGTATTTTCATTAGAAGTATATATTTTGAAAAAGTACCGTTTTCAAAAATTTCTCATTTTTCAATTGCACTAGATATCTCGTCAATTTTCAAGTATTCAGTTTTTAAACGATATTTCCATTGATTAACCATTGACAAAAGAAAAAATTGGAATTATCTCGTTTCCTATGCGTCTGAGCACGAAAACTTTCCACCGGGAGGAAAAATCACCTGTTGAAAATCGTTATCGACGGCTGCATTCTCGTACTTTTCCTTATCTACAGGAAATATTTTTCTCAATTGCTTCCCACGCCACCGCAATCTCGAAGTTTCGAAGAAGCACACGTATTCCCTCTATAATCTCTGATTGCACATTACATTGAATGCATCGAATGTAAATACTGATGTTGTAGTTAATGCAAAATGGCAGGTAGTGGTTAATGCAAAATGTCAAAGTGCCAACATTCCAGGAGAAGTGAATAAGACTGTGTCCTAATCATTAAAGAAGTTGAGAACTCAATAGAACAATTAAAGTTTGTGTTCTTAACCTAAAACCTAGTGTTTACAGTGGTTTGTTTATTTGTTTATAACAAAAGGAGTGAAGAGAATCGGGGACAAGTGCATTTTTATGGTATCAACTGATAAATTGTCTTCGATACCATCGCGGATTGACTCCCTGTCATTCGTGTCTGGTGCCAGACCCTCCGGGGATAATCAACTATCGGATATTTGATCTAGTTAGAATTATTTATGTTATTATAAACGGAAGAGATGGACCTTCTGTACACGATCAACAGGAAGTCTTCGTCGAGGTTCTTCCCCTCGAATGAAACATTGCTGGAGGGTTACTGTCTATGTTCCCTTTCCTCGAGAAATATCGCAGCTTTCACAACGACAGTTCTCTTCGATGATCCTGTTGGGAAAACCTGGGGCTCTCACGTCTACGTCTGCGACCTGAACATGCCCTGGCATCCCCACAGGGTCACGTCGAACCGATCTTCTCCAATAACAGCCCTGGAATGGGATCTACCTGGTGACAGACTGGTTGTTGCAGATCGTTCAGGGACTGTTCAACTCTGGATGTTCAAGGAGCACATCCTCAATGACTGGACTCTCCTGGGATCCACGACTTTCCCTGGTGAGCACATCCTGGGTGCTGCGTGGTTTCACAATGGAAAGAAGACTGCCCTAGTCACTGACAAAAAGGACAGCATTCATTACTCCGATAAATTCACTAATCTGCTGTTTGCACCATCTGTCAGACAATTCGGGGGAACAGCTGCTGAGGGAGTGCTAGTTGTGTCCTCCACGGGAATGATCGGTGCAATTCTGATTACCCGTGATATCACCTCGCCGATCTGCATAGCAACCGAGAGTCTCTCCTCAATTCGTCAGAGAATCTCCTCAGTCGACCTCTGCTATGGGAAAAATGGTCACTTCCTGGTTGCAGTGTCCAGTGGTACAACAGCCGCCCCCATTCGTTGCTACCGAGTTCTAGTCACCAAAAAAGACGACAAATGTTCCATAAAATCCCTCGCTCTGCCAAGTTTTTTCCTTCAGGATGGGCAGCTCAGGGAGAACTGCACCGACATAACACACCTGAAATTCGTAGTTCGAGAGGATGCAGATTCCCTGGTGGTGGCAGCCTCCGGCGAGGGCGAGGGTTTCGTCGACGTGTGGGAACTCAGGGAAAAAACCCAACCGGTTCACAAGCTCTTCCAGCTCAAGTCCTCTGATCCTTTCAAGACTGTTGTCTGGCAGCATCAGTCGCAGTACAGATGTTCTGCAGCTGTCACTGCCATTGGCACGACTAAAGTCTCCCTAGTGACAACATTACCACCTCCTAGCTTCGTCATTGTAACGCTGGCGGACTCTTCGGTGCACTGTCTGAGTCGAGAGGGCCTCAAGGAGATAAATTCCTCATCATTATCAAGAGGCTGGGGACACGAGCCTTCCGCTAAATACTCCAAGAGATCCGTCACAATCTCCCACATCGATTTATCATGGCTGGGTTTTGTCATGATGGCTGTGGACACCCAGGGTAATTTTTACGTCTATAAATTACTCCCTGATGGTGGCACTCAGATCACGCTCAACTACGCCTGCACGATGCTGGAGTACTGTCTCGTAACCGGTCTAGATTGGCTGGATCTTCTATTATGCATAAGAACATCGATGATCGAGACACTGTGCGAGAGGCTCGATGCATCATACAGCAGACAGAGTCTAGCAACTCAGCAGTATCATTATATTCAATTTCTCTGCATAAAAACCTCTCTGTACAGAATGCTGGGCAATGGACAGGGAAGAGCTGCAGATCTCAGTGCTCTCCTCATGATTCACTCGGTTGCAACTGCCTTCAAAGGACTCCTCAGGCCCAGTGATCTTATCAGTCATGATAAAGGCCCTGCTGAGAGCCTCAGTGCTGCTATCAATGATGTCAATCTCAATATTACTGATGTTGATAAAGTATTGCTTCATCTTGATCCCAAGGAGTTCACTGTGGAACCCAGCACTCTGCAGAGTCTTCATCAGCTCATCCAGTGGGTGGCTGATCTCGCTCTCAATCTACTGGCGAGACTCCCTGAGCAGAGGATGCAGATGAAACCTGGGGGGTATGAACTCCTCAAGGATCACAAGGCTCTCAATATCGTCAGAGAACTTCTCGTTATCATCAGGATTTGGGGACTTCTCAGGCCGACATGTCTTCCGGCTTTTCAGAGAACTGTCGACAGTGTTGATGTACTCGCGCTTTTATTTCGACTGCTCTCGAAGCTGGTGCAGGGAAAGGGCGATGCAGGACAGCAAATCGATGATGGAGTCATTGGTGAGTTGAAGAAATTTATTCTGTAGTGATGAAGTGATTTGCCTGGATTTTTTGGAAATATCTCGGTAGCCGATGGAGATAGGGAAATTTCGGTAAAAATCATTTTTGTAGGTCTCTCTTCATTCTATAAAAAAGATTTCAGTAGAAATTTCGCTATCTCTTTTAATTACGGTGATATTTGCCATTAATTTACAGCGTTTCAGCACTTCATCACAGAAACGAGTTTTTGCTATTTCTCTTTTTAATCTAGATCTTTTACCGCTGCGTTGAATTTTTCCTCGAGGGCTTTTGCTCTGTTCCGTTCAGGCTATCGTACAGGATTTGATAAGAGTCGCCACTTCCTTCTGGTTTACACGGGTTTTACATTCAGTTTTAAAATGCTCCTCGAGACTCGAAGTCCTCAATTCACTGAAAATAAATCGTAATGAGTGAAAATGAATGTAAAAAAATCTTGACAATATCAAAAATCAATTAATAATTAACGAGCTTGATGTTCATCAAGTGTTTAGAGACATGAAACAAATAATTTAATTCATAGAAATCAGTAAAATGTCGGAAAAATCGCGAATTAAAAATTCCTTCGCAAAGCGAAAATACTCGGAAAGTTTTGCCTCCCAGAGGAGCATGGAGAAATCCCCGAAGTGTTCGTTCTTCCTTCCAATTTGCTTCGGCATTTTCGTTGGTCACTGGATCATCATCTGTCCCTTGACCTTCGGGATGCTCTACCGTACGATCTACTCGAAGAATTGGCCCCAGTACTGGCCCCAGTTATTCTGGATGACTGCTCTGTTCCTTTATATCGTCACTATGATGATCTTCCTGATCCTTTGGAGGAGGAGAAAAGCTAAAAGAGGTCAGGAACTCGGAAATCCCGAGGGAATGGCCCTAGAGAGGAGCAAAAATCTGAAATCACTGGACTCCATCGAGGAAGAGACCGATCCAGCGACCTTGAAAAAACCTCCACCACCTCTTGTCATCGAGAAGGAGAAGAAAACCGATGAAGAGGATCCCATTGAGGTGAGAGGGGATAGTCTATCGAGGGTGTCGCAGGAAATTAATAGAAGCTCCATCAAGGAGTATTTGAAAATTGTTACTGTGGAGACACCATCTCCTGGGAAAACCTGTGGAACACCGATGACTCCTAGGGACCTCTTCTTCATAGATTTAATTAAAAATGCGGAGAAAGCGGAAGAAAAGGGACTCAGAGCAGAAGACAGTGGAAATGTCTTCAAGTATGATGACGTTGGGGGAGAGAGTCGAGGAGATGAGGATGAGAAATCTGAAAGCCCTGGGGGGACGGAACGAAGAAATAATGAGGAGATTCGAGAACGTGAGGATAAGAAGGCGAAACTGGTGAAAATGTCGAAATTGGAGAGCGATTTGATTGATGAAATGAAACGGAAACAGAAATCCGGGGATTTTTATGGATTGCAGTCGCGAAGAAGTGAATCATCTTCGGAGGAAGAAATCCAAGGGGCAGGTGAAACCTCAGGGAAAGAAATTGATAGAAAATCTGAGAGCTCTGATGGATCTACAGCTCTCGAAGATGATTCACCTGATGAAACAGGTGATAATGAGAAGGAAACGCCTGAGGGTGAAGACATCAGAGAAGAAATGGAGAGAATAGAAAACTTGAAGATTGTCTCGAGTAAAAAAAAAATCGGTGGAGAATTTCCAGAGGTACCGGAAGTGAGACCACGTAAACCGCATTCATCTCCGCATAGAGCGACTTATGGAGAAATTGCCGCGAGAAGAAATCCGAATTTTGATCGGGATTACTCGACATCGAGGGGGGAGGAGGACATTCTGAGGAATAAGAGCGACACCAGGAGATATACGTTGGGATCAGCGGCTTTCAAGGATCTTCTGGGACAATCGAACAGCAGGAGACTGTCGAAATCCGAGACAACTCTTCCCCAGATATCCGAAAAAGAAGAAACACCCAGAAATTCAAATTAAAACGAAAAAATCTTCTAACAGTCGTTTAATATTATTTTAGATAATAACTCTAAATCTAGAAAAATCAGAAATTAAGAAATCGATTGAAAACACTTGAATAATAAATTCGAAATAATTAATCGGAAATGAATAAAAGGGTTTTAGTAGTCTGAAAAATTCAGGAGAATTGAGGAATCGAGCGAAGTAATAATTTCTTCATTCAGATTTATTATTTTGTATGGAATTTTCTCTGTCATGATGAAAATGAATTTTTTTTTCTTCTCAGATGATTGCTGCCTCTTGCCAAATCAGATAATAATTCCACAATTGCATCAGGCGAATGGATTCACAGCAGTGGCAACTCCTATTCTTCACTGGCAAAATCTTCCACAACAGTTTGAATACGGAATGAGTCCTGATCATTTGTTTTTTGTTCCTGAGTTGAATCCCGTGGAGGGATGCATGCACTCAGGTCAAGTAGTCGATAAAATAAGGCACGTTTACTTGGGAAAAGATCCATCAGTATTCAAACAATGCACCAGGTAATTTCCGCGAATAATTTTCAAATCTCATAAATACATTCCCATAAAAATCAAAGACATTAAATAATCTCTTATCTCTCCAGATGCGGAGGAAAAGCTCAAATCCAAAATATGACGAGAACAGCAGCGATAAGAGCCTGGGACCAACGATGGACACGTACCTGCAGATGCGGTGGCATCTGGAGAATCTCAAAAGCAATTTCCTGAGATATCCCGAGACTCGTACGATCGGTTCCGTGAAAAACTTGGGAAATATCAATTTTTATGTAAATGACAAGAAACTGAATACTTTGAATTTATTATTCAAGAATAATTAATATTGAGGAAAAATAAACGAGGGTGAAGGATAAATCATTGACTATTTCGATGGACAAATAATATTTAATTAATAGAATGGAAAATAGTGAATAATAGTGGAGGGAAGGTGTCAGTGGCTCTCTCCCTTTTTTCCCGCTACTCTTCTGAAATCTCCCATGTTGGTGGTGGAAATTGGAGAACCGATGATGGCTAGATGATCGATCTGGGTGGTTTCAGTGCCCCCTTGATTGTCCTTGACGAATATTTGGAGGTTTAGGACATTTTGGAACTTGACGTAACGCAGGGGCACTGGATTACCCTCCTCCACGTCTTTCCCTGATAATCTGCAATTATAATTAATCATTACTAATTGTAATTAATTGTAATTACTTCTCAATATCTTCTAGTAACAATTTATCATTGTTATTACTCAATATCTTGAACACTGGTGTTGGAGTCAGCCATATCGAAGTCAATGGTTCTCGGTTGATTGATGAAAATCTTTATATTCTTCGGGCCCTTGTCACTGGGTCCCTTGAATTTCAGCGAGTGCACTTTGACGGCTTGTCTGAATGTTATTGACATTATCAGCTGTTCGTCACAGTCACTCTCCAGGTATCCACCTTCAGCGGTTAAACAGTGCTCGAGGCAGTGGTCGTCGGACTCGTTCAAGGACTCGCACTGGCCCTTCATGATGAAACTGTTCAGATCCATCTGAAATAACAGGAATTCATTTTTGAGAGGACTCAATCTGCTTGATTGATTGAATTAATAAATTTATATTTTATCGGTTGGAATTCTTGTTTATTAATCGAGCGATAACACATCTCAGCCGTGAAAAAATCATTAATCATGCGTTCTCATTCTTAGTCCAGATGTAGAGGATGATAGCTAGTAAAATCATGCCGATTATGTGGTAATATGCGTTATCTTTGGATTCTCGTACATGTCCAGCAACAGGTCCCTCGTCGTCTCCATCACCAGCTCCATAATACTCGATTATTTTATTCTCAAGGGCCTCGGCATTTGCACCTCTGCACATCGCCAGTTTTGTCTGATTTCGGTAGAATATAAACGTCGGCATGGCACTCACACCCTCGCCAGCGGCTGTCTCTGGGCTTTTGTCAACGTCCACCTTCAGGAAAACTGCGTTTGGGTATTTTGTTGATAACTGCTCGAATATCGGGGCTATTCTCTGGCAGGGACCGCACCTGGAGGTGATAATTCAAGATATCGAATAATATTTCTCCAGATATTTCAGTGTTTTTTATATTTTGGAAATGGCGATCTCATTGAAATGCCATTGGTGCGCATTTGAATGGGAAAATTGAAGTTTTCCAGAAAAGCCTCACGGGTTCTCGAAATTTTCAAGCATCTTTTAACCTAGAAATCACTCACCAAGTAGCTGTGAAGTCAACAACGACGAGTTTTGTTCCAGCACTCGACAATTCCCCGGGAAATCCTCTGTCATCATTCACAACGCGTACTAGACCCATAATTATCCCTCAAATCCTTAAAATTATCAATTGAAATACAAAAAAAAAATGGAGTAAACTTCGGAAATGCGGAGGAAATGCTCACGAACGAATGACTGGCAGTTTGCATGCATTTACATGGCTGCCGCCCCTCTCTGTGAAATTATACTGAGGAGGGGGTAAAAAGATATTCTGGAAATCTCTGGAAAATTGTAAACTGTCAGATAATCCGCAGCTAACCTGAAACAATTGTCAAATCGTAAGTACAATTATCACCAGTAAATGTAAAAAATAAAAATCGGAGGTTTGATGTACATTAAATATTCAATCAACATTCCACTACTGAATCATTATTCACCGCACTAATCACATTTTATCATTATCACCAGATGCTGCCGTTTATCAGAGACATCCTAATTCTCACAATAATGACGATGAGGAGATAATGATTGTTTTAATTATTGAAATAATTGAATGAACTATTGTTTCCCACAATGAAGGAAGATATGGAGTCCAGTGGTAGCGATGAATTGTCAGGTACGACAGCATTTGAATAATTGAGTAAAATCGGATTTTATTTTGGTAAAATTTTTGAAACCTCTTATCATTATTTTTTCCAGCGGTGATAGGAGCCCTTCTGGACTCCCTCGAAGACCGATCCCCAGCTGCCCAATCCTCGATCCTCTCAGCCCTCCGGAGTATTTCCCATCACTCACCCTCGACCCTCATCCACGCAGCAGTTTATTTCCTGGAGCTCCATCGCAAGCTGCCACAGGTACACACTTCGTCGGTTCTTCGCACAATGTCAGAAACCCTTCGTGATTCGTCCTCACCCCTGGCTGAGGACCTGGCGACCTCCGTCGCTGAATTATCAGTGTCACATCTGACTCAGGAATCAGAACAAGAGTCCTCGGAGCTGCTCGTCTCCCTGAGTCGTCTCCACTGCACGCAATCGATGGGAGGTCTTCTGTCGAAATTCCAACCGAGTCTCATTCCACCTCCCCCAGTTGTAAGGGCAATGGGTCTCATTGCCTCCTGCAATCCCTTCGGAATGGTTCCCTTCATCAAGCTCACCCTCTCGATAGTCCTTCCCCTTCTTCCCCAGGTCCACGAGGACACGCAGAAGCTCGCCTTCTGCTTTCTCCTTGGTAAATTTGCAGAGGCCATCAACGATTACATTATGAATCTCGATGAGGCCCCAGATCCCGCCATCTCCAAGGACAGCTTCACCGAGGAGATGTCCAAGTCCTTTGATATTCTCACGAACAACTGGATGAAGACCTCGAGAAACGTGAAACTCCTGGAGGCGAGTGTCAGTGCTCTTTGTCCGATTTTGTCACTCCTCCCTGAGCAGAATTGTGGACAGAGAGCTGTCAAATTAATTCCAATGCTTCTCCAGCTCTGCAAGTACCCGAATTGTCGACTGGCAGGAGCAAGAGCCATCGCGATATTACTGAATAACACATTAGAGGAGAACAGAGAGGCCCTAAGGCCCTTCCTCGAGCAACTGCAGACGATTCTCTTTGATCTCGTCAATGTTACACCTTTTGAGGCATTCAGGGACGCACTACTGACTCATTACGAGGTCCTTCAGTGCTTCAGGAGTCTGGTCGTCCTGTACCCTGAGGAGGGACTTGACAGGATACTCCAGCACTTGAAGAATCCATCGGGGACTTATCGGGCTCGATCCCTAGTCGTCCTGAGGCATTTGATCAATACTCTGCCATCGGATGATGACGCGTCCCTCCAGAGAATTGCCCTGAGTCTTCAGAATTCACTGAGTGACGGCAATGCAAAGCAGATGGTCGGAGCTATCGTAGCCCTGGCTGCCCACCAAACTCTTCCCCTCCTGCCCTCACAGAGAGCCACTTTCATCAGGTACCTTGTCATCAGGTGTGGAGCCTCTAGTGAGGAGCCACAGGCCTACGAGGAGGCCTTGTTTCTCCTCGCAACAACTGTTGATGGGGCTGAGACGTGGCTGTGGCCTGCACTCCTGAGATCCCTCCTGGACTCCACATTCTCAGCCTCAGCTGTACCAATTCTCAGATCATTGTCAGCCCTAGCTGTGAAAATCATACGAGCGGACTCGGGGAATCCCTTCAAGGAGTTCTCTGGAACGAAGATCCTGGCGAAATGCTTGGAGCTGTGTGGCGACGAGAAGAATCGATTGGCTGTTGTCATATTCTTGAGATCCTCTGCACCATTACTTGGACATCAGTTGAAGCCAGAGTGGGATGGTCGACTCCTGGATATCTCCAGACTCCTGGAGGACGAGGAAGGACCCCAGAATCATCAAACCAAGTTGATTATTTGGGAGGAGCAGATGGTGGAGTTTTTGGAGAAATCTGTGGATCTCGAGGGAAAGGAGTGGGCATCGAAATTGTCGAAGGAGTTGATCCTGGAGTGCTCTCCCAAGGTGGCCGCCTATCTGGCAGCAGTCACTGAGGAGCCAGAGCACTTGACACTGTTAATTCATTCCGCCAGATCTCAACCATTTGTTGATGAGTATCCAAGATCCATCGGTATCGCTTCCAAGAGGCATCTCTCAGTGATTCTCTCCCTGATGGAGGCTGCCTGCGAGGTAGAGGACTCTCGAAAGCACCCAACACGTCTCCTAGGACTCGTTCGTGACAGCAAAGCTGCTGCCTCTGCAGAAGCCTCGAAAGCCGCTCTCCTGAGATGCTACGCAGAGATCAGTAAGAGATCTGATTCTCTCATTCTATTCCCCCACATCGAACGGCACATTCTCCCCTGGATCATCAAACACCTGAACGACTCCAGAGAAACGACCACAAAGGAGGCCGGCCTGATCGCCCTGGAGCAGGTTGGAGGGGCAGTTCATCCAAATCGTCTGGCAAATTCTTCAGGATTGAAAGCCAGAGCCAGTTGTCTAGCGTCTCTACTCAATCTTCTGCAGTCACACAGTGGGTATCGACCTCTGCAGATATATCCAAATCTCCTCGACGCCATGATCTCCCTCCTGAGGATACCACCGGCCCTCAACCCTGAGGAGAGATTCGTCCTCCTCAGCACAATCCTCGATAAAGTCATTGGCGCAAGTTGTGAAGTTGATCTTATACTTCAGGTCGAAGGAATGCAACGAGTCGTTGATGGACTGGGTGTTATCTGTGGTGAGGTCATCGGTGACTCGGCAGATGCTCTGGCAGAACTCGTTGACGTTCTCATCCCCTGGATGCAGTCCAAATCAGCTATCGAGAGACGAATGACTCTACTGGTTCTTCGGTACAGTTTGCGGTCATATCATGATTCATTGAAGTACACTTATCCCGGTGGTAAGCTGGAGCCTGGACGACTGCTTGGAAGGATCCTGTCGTGGTCAGCTGATGGAGAGAAAGTCCTCAGACCTCTGGTGGTGGACTGCGTTGCTCTGGCCCTCGGTATCAACGCCAGACATCGATCCACTCTACCAGACAATAATCTCAATCAGGATTTAACCGATTCCAAAAAGATTCTCACGTCCGGTGATGACAATACGCTTTATGAAGGTGTGAGGACATTAGCCACTGCTGCTTGCGAGAGAATCTCATCTGGGGAAGTGCCCAGTCTCGCCGAGGGCCTCATCGAGGGATTATTATTTCGGGGAGAAAGTGTAGCAGCAGGAGTCTCTCTCATTCAACTATTCAAAACACGTGGAGCAGATATCCCTCGGTCTGACCTCTACCTCGTCGACAACATCATCACCCAGATGAGACAGATGGAGAACTCCAGCTGTCGACAGACCTCCGCCGAAGCCATCAAAATCCTGACTATTCATCATCCAGAGGAAGTATTCGAGCATCTGCTGCATCAACCGCTCCCTTTGGACCGAGGGACCGAAGAGTGTTGGAAAAAACTTGGAGTTGATGATTTTGGGATCAGAACACTGGATTTTCTTCTGAATCGACTTGAGAATAATCAGCTGCTGGCGGAGTCAGCTGTTAGCAAAGATGGAAGGCATTCATCGATGAATTTCACAGCTTCATTTCCATCACTGGCAGCTGTCGTAGCTCTTCGGCATCTTCTGCAGTGCCCCAATGCCGAGGAATTGATTGAAAAACGGCTGGCGGTGATCCTGAGTGTCTTGTTGAAGTATCTCGCTGGTTGGCTGCACGTGGACGCCCCTGTGTCTGTTATATCAACGAAATTTGGTTTTGTACCGAACAGAGAGGCGTGCAAACTCGATCCCCACGGGGAAGTCTACTCAGTCCTAACAAATGTCTTGACTGTCGTGAATATTCACGTGGCATCCAGTCTCTTGAATGAAGTCTCCACAGCCTCTGAGAGCCAAGCCGACGAGAATCTCGTATCCACCGTGAGGTCAGTGATACGATGCCTCGGAAATAAAAACGAACTACTGGCTAATATTGCTCAGACCCTGGGAAAGATGATCACCAGTCCCATATCTGCCCAGAGAGCAGTGGCTGCTGCTTTTTATGCTGAATTAATTGGCAGAGTAGATTGTGGAGAGGTTTGGCTGGATGCTATCATCAATACTCTGCATGAGGCCAAGGCAGACTCCTCAGGGCTTGTGCGGAAGCTAGCGACCATTGGACTCACTAGAATAGCGTATTTGGAGCAGAGACAGGTGGACGAATACTTCGATAATTGCACAGGGGCTCTACTAGAGGGCCTGGAGGAGCCATCCTCTGGGGAAGGGGGTCACGACGTTGTCCTTGAGTCTCTCAGAGGTCTCTCCCTTCTTCTTGGCATGAGAACAGAGAAACCAGTGAGTCCCAGGGTTGTTTTAGCACTGAAACCTTTTGTGGAGAAGGAAAACTGGGAGATAAGGCTTGCAGCTATCTCTGCACTGGGGGCTCTGGTCAGAGGCTGGATCAAGTCCATTAGGGACCCTGATGATGACGTCAGTGATCATCTCCTGGGGTGTCTACCGTGCCTGACTATTAAAATTGAGGACAATAATTCTCTGGTGGCTAAAGCTGCCAGGGAGACTCTCTTCGAGGCTGCAAATCTTCTCCAGAGTGAGGGGTTGGCTCAGGTGTTGAGGGGACATCTGGCACCGGGGGTTCAGGTCAATGTTGAGGGCTTTCTGAAGGATTTGGTCGCCTGTTTGATGGGCGAATTGCCGCAGAGGGCTGAGGAATTGAGAAATGCTGTTGTCAGGGGCTACTCCAGGTCGGAGGTACATTTTACCAGGGCCACAGCTGTTCTCATCCTCGGGCTCTTTGGGAAACCCAGGGCTGAGGATGTACAAAGAATGCTCCAGTTGCTGAGGGACAAAGAGGGAGAAGTCAGAGCTAGGGCTGCTGAAGCTCTTGCTCTTGGATTTACTAGTTAGTCATCAGAAATTAATCACTGAATCAAAAATCAATTTTATTGTGTGCAATAATTTTCACTTTTACAAATGATTGAAATATTGATAGCTTTATTTTATGTTATTCCTTCCTGTTATTATTGTTAGTAATTGATCCAAGTGATGATGATGTGTTTTGTTTTTAGGAACGATTTATATTTGAAAAATTGATTATTGGGGAATGGGGTGGATGTGAAGTTGTGGATAATGAAGTGTTTTTTAGAGATTCTATTTTGACTGAATGAATGCGAATTGGTTGTATTTTTCTAGCCGTGAAAGAATAAAGACTGGATTTTAGTAATCAATTTATTGCTTACAGCTAGATTATTAAATTGACAATTCGTTGAACTTTTGTCGAGAGGGAATTTATTTGCTGTGGAGTTTCTCTATGCAGACACTCAGCTGCTGGAGCTTGTGGAGAAGATGCCGCATGTTGGCACTGGACTGTCTCAAACCTGCTGTTTCATTTCCAACCCCATCCTGACGCTGGCCCAATTCAAAATGCAATCTCGCGAGTTTCTCCTGCTGCTCCCGAATTTCTATCATCTGCTCCATTGTACAGTCTTTTCCTGAATTTTTTCACGTAAAAAATTTTTTTTTCATTTCCTTCATTCATGGACATCTCGTAAATGAAGACAGATACAGAAATTTTTATGAATACCTTTTTTGTAGAGCAATAGGCGCACTAAAAAAAAGGTATCTATAAAAATTTCGCCATCTCTCCTAATTCGTAAGATATTCATCGATTTGAAGCCGGGGAAAATGTAATTCAGTAATTACCAAAAGCTTGAAGATTTCCACTGTGAAAATCCTTCAATAGCTGCAATAGCGCTTGTTCCATTCTCCTAACATCAGGTACCTCTGACAAAAAGCAATGATGCCTGCATGGAGGTGCTGTGACCACTATTATTCAAAAAAAGTGCAGAAAAAAAAACGAAAATGAAGAAAATAAACGAAATAAAATAAAACACCAACAAATAAAAAACCAGTGCTCAAAAAATAAATGGAACATAAATAATAGAACGATTCAAACAGAATAACTGAAATGTGCAAATTGACGAGATATTAATTATTTAAAAATTAAATCTGATATGTACCTCTGTGTTGTCCTCGTCTCGGTGGATCTGGTCTAGTCGGTTTGTGTTTTTCCTTCTCATTCAGATAAACATGTCTAGCGTGATTGACTCCATATCCAGCCGATGAATTCTGGGCCCTTCCCGAGACCATCGAGCCCTGACTTGCAGTCCCCTGTCCAGAACTCGCCTTGCTGATGATGGGAGACGTCTGGGCATTGCTGCCCCACAAAACTTGTTGCTGAAAAAATAAAACAAATAATCCCATAAACAATTTGTTTTCATAATCAAATTGAAGTGAGCAGAGAACAGCTGATTGAGAATAATTAATGATCTTACAGAATTCTGGGAGGCATTTCCCTCAACTTTACTTGTCCTGTGTGACCTGGCAGGTGTCAAAGGTGGAGTTGCCTCTCCACCACGACTGAGGGGTTCCTCGCCCTCTTCCTCTTGCACGAGCTGTTGAAGTTCCCCGCACCCAGCCTCCACATTCATTCCCAAAAATTCACGTGAAAAACAAGAAAAACAAATCAACAAAATCCCTTGTCAAACATCGGAGGTTATGCTCGACCAATAAAAAGCCTGCGCAATTCGTTTGACCCCACATCCACCAAAAAAAAAAATCAACCCGTCAACTCATCCCCAAAACAATAAAATCTCCAGTGAAATAAACGAATTCCCTCGCTTCCAGTAATGATTTGTGATTGATATTATGGAAACTGTCCCGAGATTTGTGGTATCAGCTGTTGGTGACGGGGGAAACGTCAGAAATTAACTGGCAGATCGCCATCGGGTGAATTCTACCTCAAAATCACTCCGAAAGTCATAAAAAAGGTGAATTCAGGATTTTGTGCACCATAAAAATACCTGAAGCTTCATTTAATTCCTCTTTACTGATGTTTTTTATTGAAATTGCCAATAACTCTCAGGGAGATTAATTTTTTATTAACTTTCATTGAGTATTTGAATAACCTATAATGGATTTCAGGTGAGATTGATGATCCCATGGGTGCGAGAGCAGATTGCGGAGGCCTGGCATAGCAGAAAGAGCTCAAGGACATCCGAAAGGGGGTCCTTGGCTCTTTCTACTCCTGGAAGTGATAGCAAGAGTGATATACCAATGTTTATGGCCCCATCAACATCATCGGATACATTCAACGTCAACGTCATCAGGTGAATCTCAGCACTGGGTATTATTTGACTCTCATAAACAATCAATTTAATTACTTATTATCATCAATTGTCCTTGAAATGACAGCCTCGAAGGTGAAATTCTGCAGATACCGTCGAAGCCATGGTACACGATTGATAAACTCAAATTGCTCGCCACGAGGCACTTCTACGGGGTCGAACACACCCATTCACCTTCTACTCTCCGTCTGGTCCGTCCACGTGACTCAAAGCCCCTTCTAGATTCAAAACAGTTGCTTGAGGAGGAGATAAAGCCTTCCGATGAGCTCCTGCTGACGTTAATTCGCCCTCCACCCTCGGAAGATCATCCCGAGGAGCTCCTCAAGGGGCCCAGCCTCGAGGCCATAAACAAAGCGACTTCCCACCTGCCACCACCAGCCCCTCCAAGACCCTCACCATCCACCGACTGTCCCGCCGATTTCCAAACGGAAATTCGAAAGATCCTGATAACCCTCGTCCAGGCGTCAGCGAAAATTCTGAGTCAATCGCCGGAGGCACCAAAGCTCTCGGAAATAATCCGAGAAAAATTGCAGCAACGATCACAACCACCGAACGATCCAAAAACCGTTAAATACCTGACAGACATTGGATTTCCAGAAGGGCAAGTCCTCAAGGCCCTGAAAATCAAGAAGATGAACACCTCCGAGGCCCTGGATTGGTTGATAGATCATCAAGACGAAGAGGACGACGAGGAAGAGGATTTGGGGCTGCCTGCACCCGTGGAGAATCCACCAGAGGGCTCACATGAGCCGTCAGGGTCCGGCCCATCGACGGAGCGGAGGAAATCCTTCAAATCTGGCTTCAGTGATTTCTTCAAAATCAAGACCCCAGAGGGTTCCAGGGAGAATCTTGTGACTCTGGTTAGTGTTCTTCTCCAGAGTTTCAGGCAGTACAAACGCCTGGAGTTCAGGCCCAGCTCCAGAATCAAGGAGAGCCTCGTGGAGATGGGCTTCGAGGAGAAGAAGGTAGTGGAGACCCTGAAAATAACGGGAAATAATCAAAACAGCGCCTGCGAGTGGCTTCTTGGGGCCAGGAGACGGAGTCTCCAGGATCTCGATGAGGGGCTCGATGAGACTGGGCCAATTTATCAGGCTATCATGATGAATCCACACATACAGTTGAGCTTGACTAATCCAAAGATGATGATGGCTTATTTGTCGATTTTGGAGACACCATCGTCTACCAGTATTTGGATCAATGATCCTGAGGTATCGCCGGTGTTGAGTCAAATTTTTAAGACTTATCACTCGGAGAAACATGTGATTCATATGAATCGGTATGAAAATAGCTAGCGAAGGGGTGAGGATGTTGGATGGGACAATGGGGATCTTGATAGGATTTGGGATGGTGAAGATATTGAGGAATTTATGGGCGATGGTGAGGCCAGGGGATTGGGTAACGGCAGGAGGTGGGATACATTTCGCAGGTCCAGCATCTGGGGTAGGCGAGTTGGGTGGATAACTAGGGGATGAAGCTGACATATTTTCTTACGAATTTTGGAGGAGAATCTGGTCTAGGATTGCCCAGTTCAATCGAAATAGATCAATAGTAGAGATTAAAAATTAAGAATTTATTGCTTATCGCAATGTTGAAAGTTGATGCTATTATATGAAAATTAGATAAATTGATTGCTTGTTAAACGTCGATGTGAAGAATATTGTGAAGAATATTGTACGGTATTGATTAATACATTTTTTTAGGAATGAGGAGAGGATTTTCGAAGGGCAACACGAGTTTTCGTGTTGCATGAAAATTCAGGGCTTTCTGTTTTTACTGGATTGATTGCATTGATTTATCAGATTTTCCGTTTGCGTGATTGAGGGAGTGTCTGGGGTGGAAATGGAGTCGGGGATTTGATTGTGCTTCGAGGCTTTCATATACGTTCGATATTTTGGTTGACAGGGAGAATTTTATTTCCGATTGAATAATTTTCTGGGTAATATGCACCGGGAGGATTATAAAAATTACGATCTCAAATGAAAGTAGAAATATCGATTAGTGGAAGAATTGTTCTTTTTCTGAAGCGAAACTGTAATTTTTTATTATTTCTCTTTTATTTGTAAAAATTCTCCGTGCAGAGACGCACATTAAAAGATGTTACTCACTTGTATCGAAATTGTAGAGATGAATTTAGAAAGTGAAAGAAAAAATAAAATATTTTTCCCATGATCTGAAGATGGATTTTTTCTATTTATTCAATTGGTGGACGATAATAAAACCATTAGACTCTCGATAAATTCAGAAAAATTCAAATATTGATATTTAAAATGTGAACATGTACCCATGATTAACCAATCAGAAAATAGTATTCAGCGCTTCGAGATATTTCGATTAATTTCGACTCTGACGATGTTCATCACAGAATATTCAGAATTTAAAAAATGCCAAATGCTATCTTGCCGACTTAACAATCTGTTTTTTTGACAGCACAAGAACGTCTTGACCCACGTGTTTTCCCCAGGTTCTCCTGAAAAATGGTGTTTTATTTCGAGAGTGACGGTAATTATTTCATTAACCAACAGCCATCACCTCCTAGTTCACCAATAAACAAAACCCATTCATTAAACCGATTTCCCTTTCCATTCCCTGTCTTTTAGGTTATGTTAAATGCAATTGTTGTTATAATTGAATTGTTTTAAAATTCTTGCAGTGGTACAGCCACCGGTGACTTTATTCATGGGAATCGACAAACACGAGAGTGAGTTTTTGCATTAATTTTGATAACAATGAAATCTATCAAATTTTTTCGAATGTTAAATGTTAATTTTCTGTGCAGATGAGGATTTGATAAAATGGGGATGGCCTGAGGACGTCTGGTTTCACGTCGACAAGTTCTCGTCGGCTCATGTTTACCTGCGACTCCGTCCAGTGAGTAAAATGCTGAGTAAAAAGTGCCAGTGGTTGATTGATTTTCGAATTTTACGTCTGGCAAATTTATTCAAGTCAGAAATGATGACTAATGATCTTTCCAGGGTCAGACAATCGATGACATTCCAGGATCAGTCCTGGAGGACGCAGCCCAACTGGTGAAAGCCAACAGCATCGAGGGAAACAAAGTAAACGACGTGGACGTCGTCTACACGATGTGGGCAAATCTGAAGAAGACTCAGGGTATGGAAGTGGGTCAAGTTGGTTTTCACAAGGAGAAGGAAGTGCGTAAAATTCACGTGTCAAAACGGATTAACGCTGTAGTGAATCGTTTGAACAAGACCAAGAGATCTGCCGAGCCGAATTTTAGACTTGAAAAGGAGGACAGAGACAGACGTGAACGTGAGGACAAGAAAAAATTACTGCGACTCCAGAAGGAGCAGGAGAAGGCGGAGGTGAAGAGACGAGAGGAAGAAGCTGAAATAAAGTAATCAACATTCAAAAATCAATACTATATATTCCAAAAATGCCAAATCGTAAGTCTCAAGTACTCAAATACAAACTGAAAAACTTTACTTTCAGGAATTACTCTTCTCTATTCCAAGAGAGTAAAATGACGACGAACACAGAGGCATCGGGCTATGACTCAGACGACTTCATGTGATGTCACCTGGTGAATAAATCCGGAATAAATGTACATTTTTTATTTACTAATCGATCCCCCCATTGACTGACCATTAAGTATTGAATATTGAATACTAAAATAAATAATTAATGCGTAGGATTAATTTTTGGTTGAAAATTCAGCCCAGAATCACGACAGCTCGACGTTGACAGCTCTGAGAGAACTGACAATCCACTCTGGATAATTTTTATCAGGATAAACATTGAGCATGAATTCTCGAATGAACTCTGGAAATTTTTGATTGTTAATACTCTCCCGGATGTCCCCCATGAGTCTCATTTGGAATGCAATATTGTGAACAGTTAATGAATGACAGGCGACAGTCTCCATCGTCACGAGATGATGGAGATAGGCTCTGGTGTAAGTACTACAGGTGGTGCAGTTGCAGTTGTCATCGATTGGGCGTTTGTCGTATTTGTAAATTCTCTGACGAAGAGGCAGCTGTCCAGATCTCACTAATGCACATCCAAATCTAGCTGTTCTCGATGGAAATACACAATCATACATGTCAATCCCCAGTGCAGTGCATACTACTAGATCAACAGCAAATCCCACACCCATGAGGTACCTCGGCTTGTCTTTGGGTAGAATGTCAGTGGATAAATGCACCATTTTCCAGAAATTATCTTTACTCTCGCCACCGCTCAGACCACCAACAGCAAATCCATTGACTTCCCTCTGCGATTGCTTCTGTGCACTTTGACTACGCAGGTTTGAATCCAGAGCTCCCTGGACTATTGGAAAGACACTCTGCTCTGTGGGTCGTTGATGGGCACTCAAACATCGATCCAACCATCTCGTTGTTCGATGCATTGCCTCCTCAACTCTTGGACCAGTGGTGGTACTCGCTACCACATCATCAAGCTGCATTATTATGTCAGCACCAATAGCATTTTGAATCTCTATCGAGTGCTCAGGGGTCAGCATGCACTCCGATCCATCGTAAGGTGAACTGAATTTCACACCTTCCTCTGTTATTTCAGCTAATTTCAGGAGAGACACCATCTGAAAACCTCCAGAATCCGTCAACAGGGCTCTCTTCCAGTTCATGAATTTGTGGAGGCCTCCGGCTTTCTTCAGGATCTCTGGCCCCTGGAATTTTCAAATATAATCCTCATTCTCATTCATTCGAAATATTTCATTAGACTCACTGGACGTGTCCCCAAGTGATAAGTATTGCTCAACATTATCTGGCAATTCAAATCTTCTAATTGTTGTGGCAGTAATCCCTTGAGGGTTCCCTGAAAATTTATCATAAATAAACATATATGTGGGTGATGAGTCCCGTCGAAGTATTGATCCTACCAAAATAAAAAATTGTAATAGTTTAATTGAGAGTGAACGTACTTGAGTGCCAACAGGCATGAAGACTGGTGTGTCAACGTGATGATGTACCAGTACCATTTTTCCGGTCCTCGCTTTTGTTGTTTTGCACTCTGTTATCACCTCGAAGGTGAGAGGTTTCAGCATGCCTGACATTTTTGTTGTCTTTTGTATGTTTCGTGGTAAAGCATGTGCCATGCCGTCAACAGCTGATTGGAAGCACCAGAAAATGGAGGGAGTTGGCGAGGGAGAAGGGGAAGAGAAGAGACTCAACGTCTGAATTGAAGTATGAAATCGTTTCATAAATTTCCCCCCTAAAGCCTCAGCAATAAATAAATACATTTTTTAAATACTTAAAAAATTCAATTTCGAATTCAAAAAAGGGCGGTCTATTATAATGGTAATAATTATTATAAAAATTACCTCTGATCGATTAAACGGATTGTCAAATTCGTTTTTTTTTTATTATAAATCATTTACAATTACAATTAATATTCGATTCTTCCGGGGATACCCCGCCCCTGCGCACCGATCGATTGCGCAACTTCCGTTTCATTTTTCTCGTCGGGATTTCGCGCGAGATTCTCCGGGCGATGGAGCGATTATGAAATATCGATAGAGATGATCGATAAGGAGAGATAGCAAGGATATTTGCAATAATAATTAGGTAATGATGATAAATACTGAAAATGGCTGCTAGGGTGACATTAAGTGTAAATGAAATCGTGAATGTCGATCGAGGTCGTATTGTACAGTATAATGTGTATCCCTGTTGTGATGTTGGCGATTTCTTGGCATGATTGGGCAATAGAAAGTGAGTGGCCCAGCTCGATGTTAAGTGATCGGTTCGCCTCGCCCCAGTGTTCAAAACCGAAACCTCTCCCGTTCGCTACACTTTCCGTTTAGGCTCTCGGTACATGTTTTACATGCGCCATTTGTTACGCTGATCCACTCCTCCCTCTCACCCAACGGTCAATCATAGTGAAAGTCTTTTTCCCGAAGCGGAAAAAAAATGATCGAGACACATCGATTCCACCGATTCAAATTTTCAAACGCGCGACACTCGCACACGCGCCTGCGCACTCGTTCGATTAACTCGCGACACGTAATTGGAGGTTTTTTTTTGTGTTTAACGGTTGATTGTTCATCCATTAAAAATTGTGGGAAAATCGTAAGAAAATTGTAAATTCGATAAAATAAAATGTTTTTCATCGATTTATTTATTTTTGTCGATAAGGATGCGGGGGATTTTATCTCAAGACGGGGCGCGTTCGCTTCGGACATTTAAAATCGCCTCGAGGATTTCAGTCACGTCCTGTCTGGGAGAGCTGTCATTGACAGCTGGAGGTGAGAAGAGAATTCCAATGAATCTCCATCACGAGGGGATAAAGTAGAGATTATTTTTGGGGAATTCCTGGGGACCATAAATTATCCACTTCGTGAAATTCTTTCTCAATCTCTCCCAGAAAAACCCCTCAAGACAGGTCTTCCCCCAACAGCCTTGACAACTCCAGCAAAAAGTCAATCGTGAAGCGGAAAAAAACGCGTAATGAAAGAAAAAAAGGACTCGACGTCCTTTGGAGGCCAAAGGCACTGGAAGAAAGTCGTGTCGTTGGTAAAAACAGGATGTCCCACCTTTTTACTCAATTTTTCACTATAATATCGAACATTAGTGAATCTCTCGGTAATCATATACACATTTCGTAATAAGATATTACCTTTTTTAATTTTTTTATCCATAAATAATTTTAAAAGCGAGAACCTTTCTCTTTTCATTCTCCAGTTAATTATAAATTCAAAGCCACTTATAACTACTCCATTGTGACATTTCCAAGGAAATTATTCAAGAATCGATATTGCACCGGGAATAATCATCAGATCTGCCAAATAAAATCCCCAACTGCCAAGAAAATTCAGCTATTTCAACAGCAAATATTTATGAACATCTTGTGCCATGAGTGGATGTGTATTTGTGGATGTAAATTATTCATGGAATCCTGTCCCCTCATCTTCAGGAACACCTGCGTCATCATGTGCTATTTTGTTTGATGATGGATTAATTTTCAGATCCTGGTGGAGAGTGGAACGCCAGAGGATGATCTTCCCTGAAAAGCTCGTGTTGGTAAAAAAATTGTTCAACAACTCTACGCTATTGCTGATATACAACACGAGAGAAAGGCCAGAAGTCCAACAGAGATACAAAAGATGTTGAAATACGCCAATGGGGTTTCTTTATCCCCACTATAACAACTTCTCTCGAATCCATCGTTGTAGAAAGCTCTCAAGTGGTAGTTGAAGAGCCGACGGAGGGGGACAAGTGCTCCTGGTGTTTTCCCCACTTCCACTTGTTCAGTTCCACAGCCGGACCCAAACACCAATTTATCCAATATATTTTCTAAACACTACCTCATGATTCATTTGTTCATTCAGTCTGTGTGTCTGTTGTTTTAATAATTGTCATTGTGGTGATTGACAGGTGGTGATTTTTTTTTAAATCGTCAGTTCCTCCGGAGATTGTGCTAATAGTGGAATCAAGTGAGGATTCATGTAAACTTTTGGGAATTCTGGAGGAGATCTCGGCGGAATTTTCATTAGACGGTAAATTGTTATTTCAATGTTGTTTGGGTTTTTTAAATAATTGTTTCCTGATTTTTCACGAGGAAATCCTCGGTTTCTTGGGAAAGTTGACAGCCCATTGGTCACGTGAAGAGTTTGTCAATTGGAGAAGGTGAAATTAAGTAATGGAAAAATTATTATGAGTTCTGAACTCGTGGATTTTTTAATATAAAAATCGAAACGGGAAAGCCAGAGAGTTGTGGGAGATTATGATGATGATATTTTGGGGAGAGAAGAAATGTAACAGTTTTCTGTTGAAAAAAAAAACTTTCATTTTGTCCCACTTATGGAGGTAATGGCGATCAAAAAGTTAATGGAAATCGTCAATAATTTGGTGAATGAGGAAAAGAAAATTTCTCGGATATCCAATTGATTTTCAATCTGGAAAAGTGTCTCGTTGGGTCTCACCATTCATTTAGGCATGTCAGTGGAATTAATCAGCGACAAGTTGTTGCAAACCAGTATGCGTATTCTAATGGGTTCGCGTTCACTTTCAAAATGATAAATTCTTGGATTTTATCTGTTTGAGGGGTGTGACGAGGGGGAGGATATGATTTTTCAACAGGGCATTACGTTACATGCGGCATTCCGGCCTCGACATGCTGAAACGCCGCGGGCCATAAAGACTCGCTCCATCAGTCCATCCAGAGATTCCAATTGACATAATTCTCTTCTATTTTTTACTTTTCATTCTCGAGTCTATTCGTTTCTCGAGGGACGTCTCCATTTTGATATCCGTATCTTCGCAATTGAATCCAGATTCAAAAATCACCAGAAGCATCTCCAGAACCTCCACCACCTGAAAAATAATTATAGCATTGAGTAATAGGAGTCAATCACTCCCCAGGGATTAATTACCAATCGATAGCGGAAGGGCAATTAGAAATTTTCTTAATGGAATTGATTATCAAATTATACGATAATAATTATTCAATCATTTGTGGAGCAAAATATTCGTTTTAGTTAAATATTAATTGATTAATTCATTATTAGTATTAATTATTAAAAGATGAAATAATGAGTTCAGATTGAATTTAACTGGTGGAGAAGAATTTTGAAATTATTTGAAATTATTTGAAATTATTTGAAATTATTTGAAATTATTTGAAATTATTTGAAATTATTTGAAATTATTTGAAAGTATTTGAAATTATTCGAAATCATTTGAAATCATTCGAGATAATTGAAAATCGCTGGGATATTGATCAGATCTTGTCGATAAAAACAACTGGAGAAATGAAATAAATTGATAAAAATCAACATGACGTAGTAACGCTGTTGCAATGTACCTTACACAATAAAATCCCAGGATCAGCATAAGCCCACGGTTGTGGTTGAACGACTGTAGACTATCGAGAGTGAAAATATATTCAATCGTTCCCCCACATTTGATATCAATTCCACAATTTCGAGATGAAAATTCTCATTAAAAAATTGACAAATCGAACTGCAGAAAATTATTAAATCACCATTCAACCCAAAACTGTAAAATTTATTCAACAAATTAGCGTGTAATCCACGGTTCAATGCACTCAGCGTCTCGGCACGTCGAGCACAATGTTCTGCATCAAACATGAAGTCCATAAAAAAAAAAGAACTCTCTATAATCCCGAGGATCGAGACAGGAAGAGAGAGAAAAATCCGCAGCGATTTCACGTGGCGTGCAATTTCCGGCGGACATCAAAAACTAAATGCCCAGATGATCGTCGGAAAAAGGAAAGAAATCACTCGTCGATTTGGTACCCCACGTCCTTAATATCCGCTAATGATGGCGCCTTGACACGAAAAGTCATCACCTAGAATGGATAATTAACCGTTTCACCGAAAATTCAGTTTTTTAAGATAATATTTATAAATTCTTACACAACATTTGACCTTTGAAGACTGATGGGTACCGCTACTTCCAAGACGTAATGTAACGAACAGTGAGGTAACCAATCAGCATAAAATCATCAACGGTAATGCCACTTCCTCGTTTTTCTTTTATTTTTTACGTCCCAATTGATTCATGTCGCATGTCACGTTTTGGGGTAACGGGACAGCTGCAATTGAAAAATGTAACGGAAAATCATGGGATTTATTTTGTTTATGAAATCAACGGGCGATACATTTGGATGATACCTTAATTAATTAACAATAATAATGTTTAAACAGGAATTTAAGACATGCGTTGTTAAACCTAATTTATCAATCCATCGATTTATCGATTTATTGAGATATAAATATTGAAGCAATTTTTTATTTATGGATGGGCAAGACTGGGGGAGATATGGTGATGAATAAATAAATGGAGAACAATTTATGAGATTATATTATTGAAAACAGGAGATAGAGTTAATTCATCAATTTATGATGTAAAAGTCATGAAAATAAAAGTAATTTATGATTTACAATTAGAGAGAAGGAATTTTCCACTGCAGGATGTTGAATAAAGGATTTTGGAGGATGAATAAATAAATAAAAATACTTTGGAGTCAATTTGAATGAAGATCTCTAGAGGAAGAGTGGAAAGATTGCTAGAGGAATTCCCAGTGAACATCAATGGAGAATTTGACAAAGAAAAAGCCGACAAAGTAGGATTTTGAAGAATGCAATCTGAAAAAGTTCTTCGCAAATTGACAGTTTGATTAGTACAATTCTGGTTTGTTTGTCCATTGGATAGAAATAAATCGGATACATGCGGCCTGTCCGCAAGGTTACTTTCACCATTGACCACACCGTGGAAGGTGCTGGGTAAACTGTATATCCAGCATTCGTTTCGGATGTTAAAAACGCGTCTGATCAACTGTCGTAATGCGGAAGTAAATGAAAATTTATCTGGATTACTCCATAAAATAAATAAACAAGGCCACAATCCGCGGAGATTTGTCCAACATCATCAAGACCATCAGCATCATCAAGACCATCAGCATCATCAAGACCATCAGCATCATCAAGACCATCAGTATCATCAACACCTTTAGCACATGCAGCTACAGCTGTTGCAGAATTAATTACAGAATTAATACATCAATCATAAAATTATTGAACTAATTGGGAAAAAAATTAATCCAAAGTCACGCCCGTTATTACGTGATATCGCGATTTATATAACACCCACATTATCCTTTTGCATTATATGGTTAGCAGTGGTGACAGCACCAGAGAAAGTTTTCACCTATTCCCATTGGTGGATTATAGCTTGGGGTATCACCAGTTACTGGTGTGGAGTTTAAAAAAAAAAACCTCTTGTCTAGGTCGCATCCAACAGCTCATTATTGCGGTAACGTACGAGCTGGAGATGCTGAATTGGTCATTAAATCTCCTATTCATCTTCAAAGTGTCGGTTATAAAATCGTCTTGGTCTATTGCATTTGATGAATAATTAAGTGGCGAATGTATTTTTTTGTGCAGCTTTTGTTATTGATGCACATCGGGTTAATCAGACTTAATTATTTCGATTCAACCCACGGTGAATCAATGGGGAACGATCCAATACATAATAATAATAGCAATAATGACAATATAATTACATCATCATTTTTTCAGATGTATGAATCTGTGGGAATATTATTATTATATTTACAAGAATTTACATGTCATGGCCATTAGATTCATATTTTACGTTTTGTTTTCATCCATTAATTAATTAGAGAAGGTCAACGTGAATGTTGATATTGTTTATTTGCAGTTGTTTATTATTCAAATCATCCGCTATCTTTCAATTTCCGCTTTTTCATGCAGAAGATTACAAAATGATGATAGTTGCATTTAATAAAAGCTGCTATTTTCTAAAGTTTGATCATAAAGTAACAAGATTTGCATTAAAAATCTAATAAATAAATCAAATTGGATAAAAAAGATTTGTGCAGAGTACATAAAATTTTTATTTTTACAACTTACAGTATTAATGGTACGATTTACAATGTTATAATAATTTAATGTGCAATTTGTTTATTACAATTTGTACAGATATTTCGTTAGAACTTGTGGTATTGCATATAAGAGTTCTAGAATCGATATTAATCGATATTAATCACAATTTTTTAAATTGCAGAAGTTCCAAACATGCTCGAGAGGCGATGGCTCCTGCTGACACTCTACGGTAAATAAAAAATCCCTGTACACGATGTTTATTCTTTGTTCGGATGTCCCTCGTCGATACGAAGGTCAACACTTCCCCTGGAACGCAGTGCACTTTGCATAAATCGTCAACTCCCGGGGCATACTAAAATCCGCCTTCTTGTCCTCTCCCAGTTGAAAAAAAACTGCAAACAAATAAAAAAATTAACATGATAAAACAAAATGAGGGGAGGGGATTTGGCAATTGACCGATGCGAAAGGTACATTTCTTGTTTAACCGACACGCCCATATCGTAACAAACTTCTCGTTATTGCCCACTCATTCCAAGGCGTATGATTTTTTTTTTTTTCATTTACCTCTGTGCGCTATGAGTGCAATTTTATGTGGCTTATCGCCTACGACTGGAAGAAAAATAGATAAATTTGAAACATGATCCCGTTACAAGAGCCGACAAAACTTGTGAACGTGTTTTTCATTCGAGGCCATCCACTCACCCGAGCCTTCGCCATTGCCTTTTATTTTTCACGTTTTGTCGCTTTTTTCGAAAACAATAAATACCTTTTTTTTATTCTATTTGTCATCCGTCACGAGTGGTTGGACTTGTTCGCCAGAATGAAGATGGTGATCGCTTTCTCGTTGGGTGATGGATTTTTATGGGGTTCTTGATTCATCGAGATGTCGATTAAAACTCAAAGCCTCAGGGTTTATCCCGTTTCTTTCTCTTCGCATCTGGTGCCGTTCTCATTCTGGAAGAATATATTTCTATTCGTGATTTCCATTTTTTAATTATCAATTAATTTCACCGGAATTGTCATTTATTTAAATAATTAGGCTATTTTTCATCTGCAGTTCCTCTTTACAAGATGAATGAATTGAGTAAAAAGAATAAACGTAAAAACGATAAATGAAGATTAATGTGAATATCAATAAAATGATAAAATAAATAATTGCAAAATAATTTAAAATTCAAGGAAAATTCGCGGGATTATCGTGAGAGTATGTAATGCAATATTAACGCGAGTCTTTCACGTAATGTCAAAGTTATATACATTGAGGATACAGCCTTGATCCGATTTTCATACAATTACCCAATGGATTTTCTAAACTCTCAGACTCTCCCTTCCAACATTTTCCTTCCTCTTCCCGAGACAGGTTACATCATTAATGCCTTCTAGCTCTGATTTTGCAATAGACTCTTCTTCACTATTTTCGCAATACCCCGGAGAAGATTTTCCCCACGTGAATTCACGATTGATGATTTTTTTTTTTCTTTCAAAAGGTATTTCCCTGGTCTTCGCTGTGTCAGACGCTGTGAAGGCAAGCAGGCAAAAATTTAAAATTGCAACAACTAGCACAACGACTGAAGAACCGGAGAGCGATGATGTAGAGGTGAAAAATCCCCTTCTGTAAATGAAAAAAAAAAAATACAGACAGACATTTCACAGTCAATTAATTTTTCAAGTGACGAAACAGGTCGAATTATCTGACGAGATTTTAATTATCATGATCATATTGCTCTCGAGGATGATTAAACTGGATATGACCTTGTGTGGACTCTCCATTAATTATTAATTTTCAATGTTTTCATTAAAAAAAACCAAAATTATTTAAATATAACTAATTATAAAGATGATTAACTGAAACCTGTAATGAATAAAATCATATTCGAGAGGTAATTATCGTAATTAAAAACTAATGAAGAGTGGATGATATTTGGAAAAAAAAATTTTGATTCTCAACATGAAGAGCCACCGGAAAGATTGAAATGAATTGTCAGTTGAAAAATTTCAATATGTCAGGGTCATCCTTGATGAAGACGTAACCAACTGGTTTTCCGACGTTTGATGATAATAATTAATATTAATGGTTTAACAGGCAACAACACTGTCAGATGTTAATGCAACGACTGGTCACACCTTGACTGGTATACCACAGATTGATTACATATGGGATCCAAATTTACCGCGCGAACTAAATGGTTACAATCTCAGTGAATATCCATTCTACGATAGTATCCCCAAGGAAATTGACTTCAAGTGTGACGGATTGCATGACGGATTTTACGCTAGTGTTCCACACAAGTGCCAGGTAATTCCATTGATTGAGAAATTCATCGACAGGTATTTAAATGAATTTTAAATAATAAAGAAATATCAAAGAGTTCAGAACTCTTAATAGCGAGAACAGCTAATAGCTTCAGGAAAACTGCATAAATAAATTATATTTCTAGATTATTTTTTTTTCTACCGACAAACCCATAAAATCCGTCACTGAAAACCGCAAAGCGATAACAATAATAATAGATAAAAATCGCCAATCGATATTTCACGAATGTAAAAGTAATTAAATTGAATTACATGCAAAATACCTAGTGCGTGGGTAGAAACACCAAAAATGTTAAGAGCAATTAAAAACATTCCGAAGACCAATTTTCTCCCCAAGAAATCCCTTTTACTCAGTTACATTTCGACGCGCTCTGAATGCCATAAGCACCACAACCTATCACACACGCACTTCTGGTATTCGGCCTGAAAAGAAAAGAGAAAAAAATTAATTCTCCACCGTAACCATTCACGAAAGGAACAATATGTGTTATAGTATGTGCAATTACCCCAGCAAATGCCAGTGTGAAAGCTAAACGAGTGAAAAGTGTGTTGAAATTCTCTTTTGTTCATTTTCCCCCAGGAATCCCCGACATTAAAATATTCATTTGAAAAATCCTATTGTTTTCAGGTGTATCACCATTGTCTTTACGGTACGCGCTATGACTTCCTCTGCGCGAACTTCACGGCATTCGATCAGAAGACATTCATATGTCATTTTGCATCGGAGGTTGACTGCGCCAATTCCAAGAAGTACTGGCACAGGAATGATGCCCTTTACAAAGCAGCGAGTACCACACCACCGCCCACATCCTCGACGACAACCGTGAGAACAACGACGACCACATCATCGACGATTGAAGCGATCCGTCCAACGAGAAGAAGACGTCCATTCAGGAGACGTCCGGCTTACGATTACTACGAGGATGAGTACTACGATGATGATTTTGAACGGCCCAGGGGTCGTGGTAGTTACGACAGGCGAGACGATTACGAGTATGAGGAACGAAAGTACATGAGACGAGATAGAGATCGTGATCGTGAGTTCAGGGAACGTGAGAGGGAGTACAGGGAGCGCGATGTGCCACGTAGAGATTCTGATAGATCTGATAGACCTGATAGACCTGATAGACCACCTAGGGATGAACGAGAGCCCCCGGTGATCAGCCCCAGGGAGCGATTTCATCCCAGGAGTAACAGGAGGGAACCCAATCGACCAGGTCGAGATCCTGACGATCAAGAAGATGACAGACGTCTCGAGGATCGCCGGTACAAATTATTCATTGAGAGAATTAATATTTTTTTTATGAGTACCAATAACTCCAGGAACTGCAAGTTCATTTTTATTCTGTCATTGATAGATCCCCAGTCCCAGGGGACGATTTATGAGTCAAATCCTGAAAAATCACAAGGTACGAGGGAATTATAAAAACGAAATAAGAAATGTTTCTTTTGATTTTCAGTCCCACTAAAGATGATTACGACGAGGAGCCGCCGACGGCCCCAACGGGTCCATCCTCTGGAGACAGTTTAGTGAAACCAGCAGCTCCATTATCCTCAGTCTACGGACGTCCACGGACACCACCGAAAATCCGACGGCCCGTTCCATTGTCGGAACAAGACAGATTCGCTTACAAAGCAACATCGATGCAACCAAGCACTGGTAATCATGGCTATTAATTCACCCTTAACGATTATTATAATCTAATTGTAATGTAATGAATAATCAGGGGAATCCCGTAAGCGACCGAGCGATGGATCTCTCGATGACGATTACTACGACGATGACCTGGAAGATATCCGTCCACGTCGACCAATGCGACCCAGAAGACCCTACAGAGAGAGAACATTCTACGATTCACCTAGGGACATGCGAGATCGTGAACGTGACCGACCCTTCAGGTAAGGTAACGTACACACAATACACAGAGAAAGAGAAATCATCTAAATCCATTCGAACACGAAGACACATCACGACTCATGCTTCAAGTGTCAGATTAAAATCAAATGAATGGTCATTATTTTATTCTTTCAAATGTGTCTAAAAGGAGTCGATACCGAGACGAGGAGGAGGAGATAAGACCGAGGAAGCACCAGGAACGCCCCAGGGACAGATATTACGAGAGAAGCAGAGATCGAGCACTGGACAGGGGTAAAGATAGACTGCCAGAGCGAGAATCTAGACCACTGGGAAGACGTCCCCTGGACAGAGACGAGAAAGATGATCGTGGGCCACCACTAGGGGATAAAGATGTCCTAGACGAAGTTAAAGAACTCAGGAAAAATTATAAATCGGTGGAGACCACCACAACTACCACGACAACGTCTACAACATCTCGTCCAGAAAGTACGAGACCGCCTGAAGAGTCTGAGAAACGTGTGACCCATCCTATCATAGAGGATCATGAATTTACAGTGAAAAAAAATCCTCAGAAATTAGATACATCAAGTGATGATCGAGGTAAAGCACCTGGTGGAAAACCAGAGGCTGAGTACGATGATTACTACGATGAGCCGGAGTATCCACCCTCTCCACCACCCAGGACTGCCGTTAGAATAGTAAAACGTCCATTCCTACCGTCTCGTGGTGGTAATCCAAATCCCCGAGGATTGTATTCAGTCGGTGGTAAATCACCGGACATTCGAAAAGAGATTTACACAACGAATTTACAGGAATCAAATGCAGGAGTCGATGATAAACGAGTTTACGACGCATACAAGGTCATTCAGACTGATGTCCAGAAGAGGCCTGATGCGGGTTCAATAAGAAGACCTGGTGAAGCTCCTGATAATATTCAGGTGGACAGTGCAGGATTCAATGGGCTACAGAGGAGACCTGATGACGACGAGAGTGAGAAGAAACCTGCGGTACCTTGGAATGCAGAGGAGATTGGACACGAGAGTTTTACGACAGAGGCCAATAGAGTTGATGTCACTGGACCCAGTGGACCTGGAAAGCAGAGGATCAATGAAGTATCTCATAGACTGCAGGATATTCCAGAGAGTGAGTACGATGTGACACTCAATGAGGCGCTGACACCATCATTCAATCAGGAATCGAGTCTTCCCAGTGGTTTTGTTCTGCCACTTCATCGACAGTTGAATCGAGAGCCCATTATCCAGTCGTCTGAGAATAATTACAAAGTATCGGGGCCCTATAATCCACAGGGAAATCAGCAAAAGAGTTTTGTTCCAAGCCCTCAGTTTATTCCTCTTCCCAGGATCCCTGAAAACAATGAGAGATCTGGATCTGTCCAGTACTATAGAACACCTGAACCCGTTGGAAATGTCTACAGGCAGTCCAGGACATCCTGGCAAGACTACACTGGATACTGATTGGAATAACTTGATTAATCTTTATTAATTCGTTCTAAATGAATCGTGAGTGAAACTACTGGGGAAAAAGTATTGCGTTGGAGCATTTGGCACTCATCTATTCTCATTTTAAAGTGAAATACTATCGGTGATAATTTTTTTTCCTTCGACTTCTAGTTGATAAGTTCTTAAGGTCTGTCTTTTTGAAGATTTTTTCTCTTTTTATTTTCAATTTCTTTGAGAGATACCTCCAGTGACAACTTGTGGAAGGAAATTGAATCCTTGTAAATACTCAATCATCCGATGATTAATTATTAGTTCTCTCTTATTTCTGTCACCTTTCTCTTCCTCGCTTAAATTATTTTTACTCCTCTTGCTCCTCGAGAGCACTGTCATGATGTATGTCAATTTATCCATGTAAATTATGTTAATATGATAATAAAATTTAATATCGTCTCTACAGTTGCGTCTTTTGATTTGTGAGTATCTTGGACTGTCAAATTAAATTATCATGTATTGGTTAACACGTGGCGATAACGACTGCAAATTAGATTGAGATATTGGTGGGTTAATCCTAGTATTTCAGTAAACCAACGACTCTTGAACATATTAATGGTGTTCATTTTTTTTTATCATTCATTTTTATATTATAATTCAATTCAATATGAATAACAATTTTGTCGTTACACTCGTGTCTATGCAATCGAATCGAAAAAATCGAAAAAATTGAAGAAATCGAAAAATTCTCGGGGTAGTATTTCCATTGGGAATAAAAATTCATTTTTAGCACCTGTCCTTTGAATATCTTGAGGCATCTCTGATGGAGACATCGATGAGAATTCCTGATTGGATCGACCAATGAGTTTTGCAAAAATTCACCTGATAGCAATTTTACCTCCTAATTGTTTATTAATTTTCGTTAATTTGTCGTCTCCTCGTCCCTACACGACCAAAAAAATCCTCCAATTACTGTACCCCAGGATAAATTCAGTCACGCATCAGAGAAATAACTGAAGTCTTCCTGTGGGATAAAAAAAAACGAGTACTGATTCCTAATTATTGCAATCGTAATGTCTCCCGAATTTTCGTGAATAAATATTCAATGTTTGTTGCTAAAATATTTAATTACTGTAATGCTCACGTACAGATGACAATAATATCCATCTGGTCGTACTTTCCATTGACAATACATAATGTATATGTAGTACATCTGCGAAGTTGTGAAGGCTGTTGATTCATTTCAAATTCCAAATTGCTATCTCTAAAAATTATAATCTCTTAACTTGTCTCGTGAGTGAATAAATTACCTCAAATTAACAGACGATAACATTTATAAATGAGCTGGAATTTCAGTTAGTCTAAATAACGCAGGTTAAAACTATAAAAACACGAGTTTTGATACGAGAATTTGAGTGTAAAACTCAAATCCCGTCATCACCAACATGCACCTCAAGGCTTTAACATTGTTTTTTATTGTTCTGTATTGTCAGAGTGAGGTATCAAGCTCCCTGAAGATTCTGGGGGTATTTCCATTCCCAGGAAGAAGTCATTTCGCCATGTTTGGAGCTCTCATGAGAGAATTAGCGAGACGAGGGCATCAGGTTGATGTCATTGGTATGTTCCCCCTGGAAAAACCAATGCCCAACTACACGGATATTGACATCAGAGCAACAAAACAATCCTATCTCTTCAACAATATGAGTTACCCCGAAGCCATGGAGCTCCGAAGACTGACAGTAACTCATCTGATAGAACTCTGTGCAGCTCCACTCTGCAATTCATTGAATCATCCAAATATGCAGAAATTTTTCAAGACAAAAAAGGGATCATACGACGTTATGATTGTCGAGGTAAGTCTTCATTAAATATAATTTTATATTTCGTATATTAATTAATTATTTTACTGAAAAGACATTTTTAGGGATGAGTTAATTGAATATTCCGTTGACATCTAGGTGTTCCTCGCTGATTGCTTTACAGCCATTGGAAAATACATCGATGCACCGGTTGTTGGGATAATATCCCTCCGTGCTCTTGATTGGATACTCGAGGATTTCGGCCTCCCAATGAATCCCTCGTACATACCCAGTATATATTCAAGGGCCAGTCAGTACATGACCTTCTGGGAGAGACTGAAGAACACTCTGATAACACATTACCTAACTGCTCAGGTGCATTATAACCTCGAGGCTGAATTACCGTACGTGGAGAAGCATTTCAATCGAAAATTGGCATCCATCCGAGAGCTGCGTGATGATGTGTCTTTATTGCTCGTCAATGAGTACTTCACCATGAACGATATAAGACCTACACCACCTAATGTCATTGGAGTTGGTGGACTCCACGTGATAGACGACGGGGACCAATTGACTCCAGTGAGTTATTCATAAATAATCTGATCAATTAATCAATCTGACCCATCGATCTCTTCAGGAATTGCAAAAGTGGTTGGACGAGAGCACTCATGGCTGTGTCTATTTCACGTTTGGATCGATGATACAGATCGAAACATTTCCGACAAAAACCGTGAAAATATTCTACGAAATGTTCCGGAGAATTGCTCCTGTCAGGGTTCTCGTTAAAATAATGAATCCTCAGGCACTTGTTCCTGGTCTTCCAGAGAACGTTAAGACAGCTCGTTGGATGCCACAAATTGCTGTTTTGAGTGAGTCAATCTCATCTGCGTGAAATTGACAGATTAATTTTTGGTCTTTGATGGTTTTTTCCAGAGCACAGGAACGTAAGATTATTTATCACTCATGGGGGTCTCATGGGGACTCAGGAGGCTGTGGTATTTAAGGTGCCTATGGTGGGACTGCCTGTTTTTATTGATCAACCCTCGAATATGGAAGGCTATGTCAGCAAGGGAGTTGCTATTAATTTGGATCTTGATAGTATCACTGCGGATTCGTTGACGTCTGCTGTTAAGACTGTTCTCAATGACCCGAGTTACAGGTACGTAATTCTATCAATCATTCCTTTATTGCTATTATTTTTTTGTGATTTTAGACAGAACATGGATGAACTGCATGATCTATTTTTGGATCGACCAATGAGTGCCATGGACACTGCTGTCTACTGGGTTGAACACACAGCAAGACATCCAACAATTCTCAAACATCCAGTGAAGAGTTTATCCTGGTGGCAATTTTATCTTTTAGATGTTTATGGCTTTCTCCTCGTTTGTCTCCTCTTGACTCTCTTCCTCGTCTTCAAGATTTTAAGACTCCTGGGGAGATCACTCTATAAAAAACCTGACGAAAAGCATTTGGATATTAAGAAAAAAAATTGACGTTATCAAATCGATTGAGTGACATGTCCCCTTCTCTTCTGTGACTCATAGAATCATTTTTACTAGAAGAATTGAATAAAATAGAAATTGTGGAGATAATTTTTGAACGTATAGTCTAGGAGTTGATGAGATCTCGATGAGTGGGAGTTGTGGGTTGATTACTCTTATTTCATGCAATGATCTCTTGATTTTATTATTATTATCGTATGTCGTTGTTGTCTGGCTTTTTGCGACTTTCAAATAACCGAGACTCCACGACTTCAATTCGGAATTACTTCGGAGAAATACCAAACGCCATCTGCAATCATCCCCTGTAATCAATTACGATTAACCAAACAAAAAAAGGGTGGTGCACTGAAAACTATAAATGACATATTTTTCTTCAGTCTGTTTGAGTTATCGTCACTCACTCCATTGAAATTATTTTATCAGGCCCTCACTAACGTATTCCTGACATCCAACATTTGTAATAATAAAGTAGAATTTTCTATTTCCATCGATTTGCAATGGTAAGTGGCAATGAATAATAAAGAGAGATATGATTGTCTTGGGAAAAAATTTCTAGGTTATCTATTTTGTTTGGAGATTTTCGTGCTCGTTTGTCCGTTGAATTATCTCTTGTAGGATTTTTTTAATTTTTTCACTGAGTCATGGGGTAATTGTTTTTTTCTTTCCAGTCTGTTGCGGAATTTCTGAAGGGTCTGCCCTCCCACAATGAAAATAATTTCGCCAATTTTCATACGGACAATGGGAATCGTACCTGTGTCAAGAGACCTTCTGTGTATTTACCTACGAAAGACTATCCCTCCGAGCAAAGTACGTATTTTAAATATTTATAAGAATATTTATAAGAAATATACCAGAGACATTTGATTATTTTCATATTAAATGAGACCTAGTCTATTGGCCTGATCCAAATGTAAATCCAAGTTTCTTAGTTGAAGAGTAAATAGTTAAGAGATTCGATTATTCAAAAAAATTATACTTCCAGTTATTGTGACCGAAAAGACGACGATACTGCTGAGGTACCTTCACCAGCAGTGGGACAAAAAAGTGAGAATTAAAAAGTTACATGGGAAGAGGAGAATTTGGAGAAAGGGCAAATGATTCTATTTATTTGTTTTTACCAGAACTCTGAAAGAAAACGAGAGCTCCTGTCCGTCAATGGTGATTCCCCAGACGATGTAGCAGTGAGACGCTGCAAGAGGCCACGTCTTGATCTTAACAACACAATCTAAACCAAATAAATAAAAGAAAATAAGTACCGAAACGAACGAAAGAATCACAATTACCTCATCGTAATTATTTGTCCATCATTCGAGTACATCTAATCAGTTATTTTCCTCTTCGATAATCATAAACGTGTAAATATTTCGTTTCAGGTATTTGACGTCTATTTCATTTCATTTCGTTTGGATTGAAAATTATCGTTTGTCGTAAGAATGAGACTATCAACGAAATCGATGATATCGTTAGTTAAGATTTTTTTTTTGGAGTATGACGTATGAGTGTACTGAAGCCTTTGATTGGCTTAAAACTGTTTTTTAACGACTAATTATTGGAATTTTTCTTCTCCAAGAATTGAGATCTTTTCGAGCTTGTGCATTCGTCTTTAATGATTCTGGAATTTATTTTCTGGATTTTTTTTTAAATACATTCCGTGTGAATCCTTGAAGACCTCTCGGGATCTCTCGTTTAATTTTTTTTCCATTGAATTTACTGATTAATAAAATTGTGTAATGAAATGATAAAATTCTATGATTTACGCCTTTAAAAATTAATTCCCCTACAATAATTTCAAACGAACCGCCGAATTATCAGCAACGAAATGCCAGTGATCGATTATATTCGACTGTCGTCAACTTCAGTTTGTTCGCCTCAAAAACAAAAACCTAAGAGTTAACCTCAAAGAAACGATAGAGAGTTATTAATTATCTTCTCGGAGTGAATATGAGTGAATCTGCTGGTGTTTCCGAGGCTACGGAGACGAATGGAGATGGAGGACAACCCTCCTTCAATGGAGAAGCTGACGAGCATCTCCAGAAGTCACCAGGAAGTGCTGAAGACAAGACCACAGAGTCAGTCCCAACTGCAAATTACTTCAAATGAATTTTCTATTAATTCAATGCCTATTTATTTGCAGACGAATCGGCCCAGACTCTGTATCAGAGAATGCCTCGAAGAAGTCGACCCCAGGAAGTGGAAATCGTTCGAAGAAGAGGAAGAAAGCCCCAAGGGATGCAACAGCCCCTAAACAGCCTCTCACCGGGTATTTTCGATTTCTAAATGACAGGAGGGAGAAGGTCAGAGCAGAAAATCCAAATATGTCGTTTGCTGAACTGACGAAACTCCTGGCCTCCGAGTGGAGTTCTCTTCCTGCCGAACAGAAACAGCTGTACCTAGATGCTGCTGAACAAGACAAGGAGAGGTACAATAAGGAGTTCAGCGATTACAAGCAGACTGAGGCCTACAAATTGTTCACTGAGAGGCAGAGCACTGAGGGCAAGAAGGAGAGGAATGGAACTGCTGAGAATAACGAGCCTGTGGTGGGTCTCTCTTCAGTTAGAATTCTCTTTAAAAATTGGAATTATTTTTTACTCTTTAGTGATTATTTCGTGATTCAGGAACCACCGGTAACTGAGAAAGACACGGATTTCTCTGGATTCGATATTCCAATATTCACTGAGGAATTTCTCGATCATAATAAAGCCTGCGAGTCTGAGCTGCGTCAGCTCAGGAAAGCCACTTCTGATTATGAAGCCCAGAATGCTGTCCTCCAGCGACATGTGGACAGTCTTCATGCTGCTGTTAATAGACTGGAGTCTGAGACTAATCAGCAAAGGACAACTAATCAGTCATTGCAGCGGCACCTGGATGCCCTCAGGGGTCAGCTTGCTGGGTGTTTTGCTACTGTTCCCCTGCCAGGTATTGATACTCTTTTGAGAATGTCAATTCCGATTTTTATCAACGCGTTTCATTTTGAATTGAAACATTTTTCACTGATTGTCAGGCACCAACGAAGGAGCAACACCGCAGAATATCGATAATTATGTGGAAAAACTGGAGACTCTGCTGAATGGAAATGCAGAGCCTTCTCTACGAAACGCTCTTCGATCAGCTGTTTCACGACTGGAGCTGCTGGGATGACATTCACCCACAGGTGCTAGTCCACCTCCCAAACATCGTTCTCGTCATTCCCATCGTAAATAAATCACTCATCATTCGCGAGTTAATTAAATATAAATGCCCCTCTTTTGGGTATTAATTAAACAGCCAGACACATTTAATTGTAAAAACAGTGTTCTATAAAAAATATTTGGAACTTCAGACTTCTTCCACGTACATTAATTCAATTACTTACACAGGACTCAATTAATTTAGTACAGATGAATAAACGATTTCTTCGATTTCATCGAGTCAATCAGTTATATAAGAGCCAATAAATTCAATGCTTATGACTAAACCATTTTCTCAAATTAAAATCTACATAAATTGAAAATTTCATAGCAAAACCCCGAAAATGTCGATACATAAAAAAGTAGCAAAAATGTGATGTACATAAAAATTGGATTCTATTTGTACAGAATATTTTCTATAGATTAATTCAATAGAATTATCTTTTTAGTGTTTTGCTGTAGATTTTCTTTAATATATTAAAATTATTCACAGGTTTAAGGCCAATGTTTCGTTGAATCTCGCCAGGGCATATCTCAGTGCCCCAGCATGAATCATTCCACCTCTCTCAGCCTCAGCAACAACGTCCTCCACCCCGTCCTTAATCTTCAGGGCCAGTGCCCTATCGACCTTGAGCAATTCGCGCAAAAATTCGAAACATCCTTTCGTCATTTCCCTCACCCTCCCACAAATCACCCCACAAATAACTCGCCTCACCACCTCCTCGCTGTAAAAGTTATTGGCCCTGAGCTCCTGGAGGAGGTCGAGGGTCTGCTTCCTGTGAGGATGAAGATCGTGAACCCTGAGGAAACCCTCGATTACCGCCCTCAGCACTTTACCCGCAATAACCTCCACCAACGATTTTTTTCCGCCCTCTCTCAAGAGTCCCCTCATCATCTCCATCAGCAGGTAGGAATTTTTCCTCAACTCGTTACCCTCGACGACCAGATAATTCCCAGACAACTTGTCAAAAATTACGTCCAAGAAGTCGTCTGTTACCTCTCTGAAGAGATTTATCAGCTGATCAGCGACTCTGAAGCTCTTGTGTTCGGTAATGAGGAGGGGAAGGTAGACGTCAAAGAGATCGACGATGATCTTCTGAAGGATTCGGTCCTGTCTGTAGGGGATGGTTTGCAGCCCCAGAAGAATCATCGAAAATACTTTTTTCCCCAGTTGCTTCAGGTGGAAATTCTCGTCTCCAGGTAGCATCATCTTGGTGATGAGGATGCGGAGGGGATTACTCGGGGTCGAGGTGTAGAGGATTGGTGCACACGTGAGAATAATCGTCCCCAGGCAACGATAGATCAGGAGAGAAAGGGGTGAGTCCACGGTGGAGGGTTTAATGGGGTTGAGGACCCATTTGTCGAGTGTCAGGAACATTCCCCAAATCTGTTTGTCCAGAGGTGGAAGCTCCGAGGGAGCCAGGGATGCCCGATAGGTGTTCAGAGTATTAAGAAAGAGAAGAAAAGATGTGTTCGATGTTTTAAAGTCCACAGACTCACGCCAGGAAGGGAAGAGCGTGCGGATAGGCTCGACGTCCACTAAATACGACTTCAAGGTCTTCGAGGATGAGTCCAGATCGGAGATGGAGCACTTCAGCCACACCTGGATCATCAGGTGATCAAAGTTCTCCAGGAGTTGCTTCAAATCATTGACTGCTGCTTTATCCTCCAGAATTATCGACAAATAAGTCCTGGAGATGTTGACGTCTTTGACATAAATCGTTGATGTGAAGTGCCTGAAGAGGGACAGGGCTGAGTGTTTATGGCTCTCAGCCATTCTGGGACGCCTGAGAGCCTCCAGGGTGAAGTCAGCTGCCAATTTTCCAATGTCCTCGCAATTTTCCACTGTCAGGTCGTTGTCATATACGAGGGCTCGCACCCTGGCAGCTGCTGACGACCACAGCACCTCGAGCATCTCTTTTCCACCGGTATTTTGAATGTCGAGGGCGCGTGAGCCCTGGAGAAGAACTAGCAGCATCTTCAGGACAGTCCCAGCCCGGCTCTTGGGGCACTCCAGTAGATAACGATCAACCCAACCCCCGATGAGGTGGTGCTCATTGTTCAGGAGTTTTGATTTTTCGAGTGACTCCTTTATCGTCTCCACAAAGATACTCATCATACCCCTGGTAGCCTCGTCCCTCCTGGTACTGAGAACACCCACCACTTCCTTCAGTTCTTCTCCAGTGGCACTCATGTCCAGGCCCTTCTCCATCAGCAGAACAGCGCCACACAATTGCCCCTTGAAAGACAGACTCGCCCTTCGAACACTCTCTTCCCCACCACCAAGAGCACTGGGGAGCAACTCCATCATCACCTTGACGACACCCTCAGGATCAGCTGTGATCCCCATCGTCAGCAGCAATGATATCAGATTGAAGAGCCTCACCTCCGAGAATTCCTTCACTTTACTCTTGGAGAACTTGGAGTAAATCTTTCCTCGGATCTGATTCCACACCTTCATCTCACCCTTCTCGTGATTCTCCTTGAGAACAATCCCCAGGAGTTTCAGGAACATCCCAAAGCTCGACTCCTTGGGATTATCTCCGAATATTCTTTCCCTAGTCTGTCTGAGGATGTCCCTAGGGGTCTTCTTCTCCAGGGAGAGACTCCAGGGGCCCCCAGTTTGAACGAGAAATGGCTGATCCAGTCGTCTGTGGAAACAGTCCCATAAATAACTGAGAATCCTCACAGAGGAGTCCCTCTCCTTCCAGAATTCCAGAATCATAATCTTCAGGATTGGAATCATGATCTTCAGCTCCTCGTCAATCTCATCGCGTTCCCCTTCCTTTCCTCCCCTTTCCAGAAATGATTTTAGAATCTTCTCAGACTGTTGGCAGTTGGATTTTAACGTCGAGGGGCTGAAGGTGCTCTGGAGAAGAGTCAGGTGAAAAATCATCCACAGGCAGAAGATCTCTGGGCTCTTCGTGTCGAGTTTGTAAGGAGATTTCTCTGAACTGCTCCAGGACAGGACTTTCTCGGTGGTATTTCCTCCATTCGCGTGAATTACTCTGTCCAGGCTGGGGTTTACATAGCTCCAGAAGGTGCGATTGTCCAGGTGCTCGGATATCCTGGGGATCGTCAGCTGGAGGGCGAGCCAGAGGTCTCGAAGACACGAGCAGCTGAAGGGGGTCTTCAGCATGAGATCTGGGGGATCAATTCGTTGAAAGGCCTTCAGAGATATGAAAACGAGATCCTGGATCAGCAATTCCAGGGCTCGATTAAACCGATCATTTTGCTCCTGGCTCTGATCCTGGAGAATCTGCTGGTGCACCAGACACAGCATCTGCCAGCGAAGCTCCAGGTGCACATGAAACAGGTGAAACACTGGCTGAGGTGTTCTGTTCCCCAGGATCGAGGCCGAGTGAAACGAGATATTCTTCAGGCGTGAGTGAAATTTACGAAGAGTGAACAGCACCTCGTCGTACCCAGCCTTAAGTTCAGTCACCAGGGGATGCTGCAGATCTGACAGCTGTGGCTGAATCGAGAGAAAGTACTTGCGGATGTAGCAGACAAAATCCACGACTTCCTTCCGTAGGAGAAAATAATCTAGCTGTGGAGAAATCTCTGAATTGATAATCTCTGGATTCTCGAAACGAATCAGAATTCGCAGATTCATCTCCAGCTGTTTCAGCAGGTGTTTCAGGTGAAGAATCGCTGAGGACGCAGGATGTTGACACCCGAAGAGCACTGGCCTCGAGGTGGGGAATGTGGAATCTGAGGATGGATGCAGAATGGGATTCAGGTGGTGCTGATACACTAGACTGGATTCTGGAAGGTCTGAATCATTCGGGGACACCTTCCCCAGGCACATGAAGGTATTCTTCTCCATTGGCTCTGAAAACAATTTTTCCATAGGAGTTTTTTGATGAGCCAATCGAAAATTCATCACGACTATTTCCTCGACGAATAATTAAAGTAATGAATTCATCTTTTTCCCAATTGGTAAAAAAATAATGACAGAAAAGTGAAGTAATCACCTGTTGGATCGACAGGATCAATTAATTCCCATGCCAATTAATGTCGCCTTTGACAACAAACAATAACCTGCAAATACCTATTTGTTGGCAGACATGACAGAAATTTCGGCGGGAGGTCTATTTATCCATGAAGTTGTCCACATATTCCCTCAAATTCCAATGTGTGTGTGTGTGTGTGTGAGTGCTGGGTCCCTATTCCACCCCTCGTAACAATTAACAAATAAATAACTGCACGTGTTCCAACAATAAAAAAATCTCAAGACAATGAGAAGAAGTCTCGATTGGTAGATTTAAATATTAATTGGATGTGTCTTGTTGTGGCGTCAAGTGGCACCTGAGAATGACAGATTGAATTGCCAGTCGTCATCTCAACGTCATTCTGATGCAGCAGAAATTCGGGGGCGAACACCAGGAGGTCGATGACAGCATGATGAACCTCCGGGAGCTCCTCAGCGAGGTAAACCTTTGGAATTCATTTTTTTCATCTTCCTCTTGGGATTTCGGGGATCCAAGGGAGAGAGTGAGGTTAGATTCCCGGTGGAGAGGTCCTTCGGAAAAATTCTTTTCGAATAAAAAAATTTATCCGTTTAATATTCGGCTGTTGGTTTTTATTAGAGCGAATTACTTCCACGAAATTATTTATTCCCGTTTTCTTTGACTTTAGGGGGGACAAGTGTGCGGAATTGTTGTCCAGGAGATGACCCTCTTGATTCTTTTGATCGTCCTGATTGTACCCTTGAGTCAAGGAAAACAGGGAAGAAAATGAAAAGCTTTAGGAATTATGCAGCAATTTTCCTCGTGCCTTGGGATTTTTTTCCGATATTTTTTAATGATTCATCATTGATTGCGATTGATTCGAAGTTACGAAAGAGAATAATCATTACCTAATTGAATTAAAAATACATTTATCAACCACGTGGTGCAACTCGAGAATTAATTGATTGCAGTGTAAAACTTGAGAAAAACATTCCCTGAGAATTTTCATAAAATAATAGTCAATATTAATTCCCAGCCTCCGTTGCTGCAAGCGATATTCCTGGGTAATGTGCAGGAGATTCGTGCCCTGTTGTCCCACCAGGAGGACATCCACTGGCAAGACGACCAACAACGTACCCTCCTGCACGCAGCAGCATTCATCGGTGACCCAGATATCGTAAAAACCCTCATCGAAAATGGTGCGGGTGTCAATAAAAAAGACAGACGTTGGCTGACACCTCTCCACCGTGCGTGCTGTTCCGGGAATGAATTAGTGGTGGAGGTACTGCTGAAGCACAAAGCAGCAGTGAACGCACGCGATAGAAATTGGCAGACACCCCTGCACATTGCAGCAGCCAACAATGCAGTGCAGTGTGCAAAGCTGATAATGCCACGCCTAGTGAACATAAATCTGACAGACAGGGGTGGTAGAACGTGCTGGCATCATGCAGCATTCAATGGTCACGTGGAGATGACAAAATTATTTCTGTCCCATCACAACTGCGTTGTGGATGCCACTGATAAAAAAGATCGTCGAGCCCTGCACTATGCCAGCCACATGGGCCACGATGGCATCGTAAAACTCCTCCTCCAGAAGGGTGCTGAGGTAGGGGTTGGGGATCGTGATTTGTACACACCTCTGCACGCTGCTGTGGCAGCAGGAAAAGTTGAGAGCATCAGGATATTGATTGAAGCTGGATCTGACATCGAAGCGCAGAATGTCTACGGGAATACACCGTTGCACGTTGCCTGTCTCAATGGCCACGTGGACGCTGTTGCTGAACTCGTCAGATGTGGATCAAACATAGAAGCTGCCAATTACAGGGGTGAGACACCACTGCACGTTGCAGCTGCCAGTACACAAGGTGTCGACTGTCTGGAGAGTCTTCTTCGTGCTGGTGCTGGTATCAATGTACAATCCGAGGATGGAAGAACTCCACTCCACATGACAGCCATTCACGGTCGTTTCACTCGATCAAAGAGTCTTCTCGATGCTGGCGCATCACCAGACACTCGCGACAAAAATGGCAATACTGCTCTTCACATTGCTGCATGGTTTGGCCACGAGTGTCTGACAACGACTTTACTTGAGTGCGGAGCATCACCTGGTGCTAGGAATGCAGAGCAGAGGACTCCACTGCATCTCAGCTGTCTCGCTGGACACATCGAAGTATGTCGGAAGCTACTCCAGGTCGACAGCAGGAAAATCGACTCGAGGGATATTGGGGGCAGAACTCCTCTTCACTCTGCTGCTTTCAAGGGTTCAGTCGATTGTCTGGATCTTTTGCTCTCCAGTGGTGCTAATTTCAGGCTGTCGGATAATGATAATAGACTTCCTCTGCATTATGCTGCTAGTCAGGGGCATTATCCATGTGTTTTTACTCTCGTGGGGTACGGCAGTGATCCCAATGCCCAGGACGTCAATGGAGCCACTTGTCTTCATCTCGCTGCTGCTGCTACCAATCCTGCCAATAACTCTGGCCAGTGTGTCAGGTATCTCCTGGACCATCGAGCTGATCCCCAGGTGCGCGACAAACGTGGTTTCACGTCGATTCATTATGCAGTGGCAGGTGGCAATCAGCCAGCTCTGGAGGCTCTCCTCCACGATTCAAACCTGTGTCCAACAGTGGGAGGTGCTACCTCGTCTTCTCCATCCTCAGTTCCCTCGCCCTCTTTACCACCCCTGGGAAGCCTCCTGCCACCTCAGCCCGTGCTGCCACCCCAGACATCCCTCAATCCCCCAGCTCCTGCTCTAACTCCCCTCCATCTTGCAGCCTACCATGGACACGCAGAGATCCTCCGTCAACTGCTTCCTCTATTCCCCAGCACAAATATCCGCGAGGACACTGGTAAAACACCTCTGGACCTTGCTAGCTACCGAGGACACGAGCAGTGCGTTCGCCTGCTGCTGAGGTATGCAGCACTCGTATCAGTGCAGGACAATGTAACACGTAGAACACCCGTTCACTGTGCAGCAGCGATGGGACACGCTGAGTGTCTGCGATTACTTTTAAAATCATCAGAGGATACTTCAGTAGTGGACAGATGTGACGCCAAACAGAGAACACCACTGACTCTAGCTGTCGCCAATCACTACACCGAGTGCTCGTTTCTCCTCCTCAAGTATAAGGCCGATTGCAATCTGCCAGATGTCAACAAGCACACACCCCTCTTCAGGGCTGTTATTCACGACGTGGATTTATCAGTTATGGAGATGCTACTGCAGCACGGTGCCAGGGTATCCCCCCAGGACTCCAATGGAAAAACTCCCATGCATTTGGCAGCAGCGTGTGGCAATGTTGCTGCACTAGCTGCCCTCGTCAAGGCTGATCCCACAGCTGTTGCCCTCAAGGACGATCAGGGATGCAATGTACTTCACTGGGCTTGTTACAATGACAATCATCTCTGTGTGGAATTTCTTCTTGAGTCTGGCCTCATTGACACCCTCGAGGGCAATCCATTTTCACCAGTTCACTGTGCAGCGCATCAAGGATCGGCGTATTGCCTCGAGCTATTGATTAAAAAATTTGGCGAACAAGTAGCTGCACTCAGGGATACACCTGGGGGTAGACTACCTCTCCATATTGCAGCTGCTGCTGGTTCTGTGGCTTGTGTTAAATTCATTCTTACGTCTTTTGGGCCTGATGCTGGAGGCCTCGAGGCACAGGATTATGCTGGTAGGACACCTCTCCTCAGTGCTGCTGTTGCTGGACAAAATGCAACTGTGGAAATGCTACTCAGCAGAGGATCTGATGTCAGGGCTGTCGATTCCGGGGGTAATACTGCACTTCATCTCGCTTGTCAGAGGCGACACTACACTGTGGCTTCGTTGCTCCTTGATAGAATTGAGGCAATGGTCAAGGAGAATCAGACTGGACAGGTCGTGCAGATGATGCAGATTGTTAATATGGTTAATAAGCAGATGAAGACTCCTCTGCATCTCGCTGCGAGGAATGGACTTGTTGGGGTGAGTTCATGAAGTTGGACTCTCAGCACTGTTTGTTAACATTTTTTTTATCCTTTTTTTAATCATTCTATAGGTGACCAGGAGACTTATTCAGTTCGGGGCCAGTGTTTTCGCTGTGGATTCTGAGGGCCTCACACCTGCACTTGCATGTGCTCCTAATCTCGCTGTTGCCAAGTGTTTAGAGACCATTTTAATCGCACATGGTGAGTTGCGAATTTTATTTTAATCAATTTTATTTTTCACTTTTTATATTTTCATAATTCTGAATGGTTCAGAATGGTTTTCTTGTTAGGACTGAATATTTGATGTTCGAATATGACATTTCATTTATTTGAAGGAAAAAATTCGGAAGCAACCCAGCAAACTCCATCCATCCAGCAAACGTCTGAGGTAAATGGTCGAGTTGGTGATTCACAACACAGTTCAGACTCGGAATTCTACTGACGCCAACTAATGCGTTCACACGCTGATTTTTTATGAGTAAATGAGACAATTGAGATAATTGGAGATTCAGCTCTTAGCTTTGTAATCGGTCTAAGTGCTTTCGACGCCTGCCATTTGTGCGGATGGAATTGGTATGTTTTTTAACGTAAATATGTAAGAATGGAGATATTTTCTATAAGGTAATGACAATTATTTTGTTTTCTCGTTTTAATAATTTTCTATACTAGAGCACGAATGAATAATCGTCGTAGCAATGTGAATAATGTGGAATTTAAATAGCCGGTTAAATTTTTTATATGAATCAAAATAATTATTGATACTTAATTGACGACACCGGCGTGCTCAATGAAGGCTCTTCGATTGTTTAATTTTTATCGAGAGGATGACTGCAATCAGTGGTTGTATCGTTTCATGTCGTAACGATTGGCTTTATGAATAAAACATTTTGAAAATTCATGATTTTTTTTTTTCCCGCCACTCTCCCGTCATGCGCATTTCATCAGAAATTTTCAGTCGAGTAAATACAAAAAACGGAGGAAAACGTTTTGTCACAAAGTGAAAACCAAAAAGTTATTAAATATCGATAAATAATTAAGAATTTAATTTAATTACTGTATTTAAAGGTCTTAAAAGGCCTTGACCTATTAAATTCCCCAAAATGTGAGAGATGAACAAAAATATTGAAGAGCATTCAAACTTAACCTGCAATTTGAATTTTTGTGGTTAAATGGGTTGAATTAGCATTTAATATTATTTGTAAAAATTCCATTGTTAAGAAGGAAATTAGGATAAGTACTTTTTTCGGGGGATTACCCGGTGATTACTGAGTGATAATGGCACACGATAAGAAAGCAGCTCGTCGGAGTAGATCTCGAGAGCGTGAACGAGATCCTCACAGGGATCGTCGAGATCGTCGACGATCGAGAAGTCGATCTAAAGAGAGAAAGCCCTCGAGGAAGAGATCTAGATCGAGATCTCGTGATCGAACCCACGACACCAGGACTTCCACTAATGCCTCCAAGTCATCATCAGCGCCTCACGACTCCAAGAAACGAAAGCAGAGTCCAATTTTCAACTTGGAGGACAGGGAAAAGGAGAAAAAAGATGATAAGACGAAAAATTTGCAGCAGAGTCCTGAGGATAATGAGCAAGAGGTCGACAAGAAGACCCCGAAGAAGGAGCCGTTGAGTCTCGAGGAGATTCTGGCGAAGAAGAAGGCGGAGGAAGAGGCCAGGGCGAAGCCCAAGTTCCTGACGAAAGAGGAGAGAGCTGCCCAAGCACTCGAGAAACGACAGCAGGAGGTGAACGCTCTGCGTCAGGCACAGGAATCAGAACGAAAAGCCCTTTTTACATCTCAGAGTCCCTCCACGGAGATGGCCTCACACCCATCTGGGTCGTCGTCAACCCCAAGTAAAGACCGAGACTGGGAAGAAAATCGGGAGAAACGAAGGGAAAAACGGGACAACGATGAGGTGAAGGACAAGGACAAGGAGAAAGAGGTTGAGGCGATCAAGGAGAGGTACCTGGGGCTGATCAAGAAGAAGAGGCGAGTTCGTCGTCTGAATGATCGCAAATTTGTCTTCGATTGGGATACGTCGGAGGACACATCAGTGGACTACAACAACATCTACAAGGAGCGCCACCAGGTGCAGTTTTTCGGTCGTGGAAATCTAGCGGGGATTGACATCAAGGCCCAGAAGAGGGACCAGAGTAAATTCTATGGGGAGCTCCTCGAGAAGAGGAGGACAGAGGCTGAGAAGGAGCAGGAGAAGATGCGACTGAAGAAAGTCAAGAGGAAGGAGGAGAAGCAAAAGTGGGACGACAGGCACTGGTCTGAGAAGGGAATCGAGGAGATGACAGAGAGGGATTGGAGAATATTCAGGGAGGACTACAACATCACCATCAAAGGTGGAAGGATTCCAGATCCAATACGATCGTGGAAGGAGTCAGGATTCCCCAAGGAGATACTTGATATCATCGATAAGGTCGGGTACAAGGATCTTACGCCAATTCAGCGTCAGGCCATACCCATAGGCCTCCAGAATCGCGATATCATTGGAGTAGCTGAGACAGGCTCTGGAAAAACTCTGGCCTTTCTCATTCCTTTACTCCTCTGGATCACCTCTCTCCCCAAAATTGAACGCCTCGAGGAGGCAGATCAGGGCCCTTACAGCATAATCCTGGCACCAACACGTGAACTCGCCCAACAAATCGAGGAGGAGACAAATAAATTCGGTCAACCCCTGGGTATTCGAACAGTAGTCGTTGTTGGTGGTCTCTCCAGGGAGGAACAGGGATTTCGCCTGCGTATGGGATGTGAAATTGTGATTGCAACCCCAGGACGTCTCATCGACGTTCTCGAGAACCGATATCTCGTTCTCAATCAATGCACATACATCGTCCTCGACGAGGCCGACAGAATGATCGACATGGGTTTCGAGCCAGACGTCCAGAAGATCCTCGAGTACATGCCTGTTACAAATTTAAAACCAGACAACGAGGATGCAGAGAACGAGGAGAAGCTCCTAGCTAACTACAACACTAAAAAAAAATTCCGACAAACAGTCATGTTCACAGCAACAATGCCAGCAGCTGTCGAGAGACTCGCCAGAACTTATCTGAGAAGACCAGCTGTTGTCTACATTGGAAGTGTTGGAAAGCCAACAGAGAGGACTGAGCAGATCGTCCATATAATGGGAGAGGCTGACAAGAGGAGAAAACTCATGGAGATATTGTCGAGGGGTGTTGAACCACCAATTATCATTTTTGTTAATCAGAAGAAAGGAGCTGATGTGTTGGCAAGAGGTCTTGAGAAACTTGGGTACAATGCATGCACACTTCATGGTGGCAAGGGACAGGAGCAGAGAGAATATGCACTGGCTAGTCTCAAGGGAGGAAGCAAGGACATTCTCGTTGCTACTGATGTCGCTGGAAGGGGTATTGACATCAAAGATGTGTCTATGGTTATTAATTATGATATGGCCAAGACAATCGAGGATTACACACACAGAATTGGAAGGACTGGGAGAGCTGGAAAGGCTGGACTTGCTATATCATTTTGCACTAAGGACGACAGCCATCTGTTCTACGATCTCAAGCAGACCATCCTCAGCAGTCCCATCAGCACGTGTCCACCTGAATTGCTCAATCATCCTGATGCACAGCACAAACCTGGCACTGTCGTCACCAAGAAGAGGAGGGAGGAGAAGATATTCGCGTGAGCTTGTTCCTTAGTGAGTTTATAGTTTTCTTTTTATTTAATTATTCAATTAATTAATGAAACTTAATTATAAATCTTACACGTTTCATGAATAATTTAATAATTCGTTGCGTTTTGTCGTCAACTCTTGCTGTTGATTACTGCTCTAGATTAAATTCACTTGAGGTAAAGAATTCAAGGGTTATTTGGATGGGATTTGGTTACTAGATCTATTTTAAGATTTTCTTTGGTTTAGTTAGGCTGGTGGAGGTGGTGGGATGATGTAGTTGGGGTCAGGTACTCTGCAGTCCTCGGAGTAATCTCCCGGTAGGACATTTGCCACTATTTTGGCGAATTTCTCCAGTGGACAGGCGATATCACAGTTTCTCAGCTTCAGGGGCTGGGTCTCGTAGTCGGGGGCGTTTCTCTGGAATATCTGGTAGAAGAGGAATTAATTTTGTAGGGAACGGGGTTGGAGCTCTTTTGTGGATTTTGGGGAGGCATTTTTTGGATTTTACCTGGACATTCCATCTGTTGTTCTCCTCGTGGAGTTCCAGGATAATCATGCAGGAATATCCGGGTGCTTTTCCATCCCATAACTCCAGAGCACTCAGGACATTGACGACTGTACTGTCGTGAGCCACATAAGCGAACATTCTCCTGTCTGCTGGGGTCAGGGTGCCATCTCGTTTCTGCTCCATCGTCCTCAGGACTTTTTTAACGAAGGGTCCACCAGCCAGTTTTTGCAATTCCTCGGTGAATACATTCATTCCGTAACTCATGATCACTGCAGGCAGCATTCTGTCGGGGAAGTACTCTTCAGTCCACGGGGGGAGCACCAGATTGTCCATTTGCTCCTTCCAAATCAAAAAATTTGGAAAATTGAATCTGTGACTTTATCTCGAAAACCATCGATTTCACAGGAAAACGCAAGAGAACTTTTTTGGAGATGATTAAATTTCTGGGAAAAAGGGTCTCTTACGGTTTTTCGGTGGAGTCGATAGTTTTCGAAATCCAGTGAAGTTTGGGGTCAGTGGAAAATTGTAGTTTTCGGTGTTTCATTTAGTTGGTGATTTAATTAATTGTGGAATGATTAATTATCGAATTGATGAGGATTTTCTCACCTCAGCGTGCAATGTGCCGTACAGATCAGCGATATCCTCAGCTGTTTTTATAGATTTTCCTGTCAAGATCTCGATTTCCTCGTACATTTCTCGATTTTTCTCGTTGAATTGACGAACTTTCGTGGAATTGTCCACTCGCAATCGTTCCAATGTCAATTTTGGACACGCGTTCCAGATTATTAATAACTACAGATGATCGATAAATTGTTGATAATGTTAATAATTATGTTAATTAACGTATTTCATGAATTCAGCAGTTGAACATTTTTTTTGAGGCGAAAACTGATAGTTCCTTTTACATTTTTGGAATTATTTGTAGAAAATTCGATGATTAATCACCTGATCATCGATCCTTGTCCAGTAATGGAGGACCACTGGCTGCCAGGACAGCTCTGGCTTGAACATCTGCTTCTCTGAGGGCTTCCAGAGGGCAGAGGACAAAATCATTGCTGTCATGATCGTTCGGTCTGATGATGTACTTTGCAGCCAGAATTTATTTGGACTGTAGGATTCACCCAGGAAGTGGTCGTAACGGTGGCGGAGAAACGCACCACTGTTGTATACGTTTAATCTACCTTTCTGCAATGTGTAAATCATTAATTACATTCAATAAATTCAATTATACCTCAATGATTCTTCCAAAAGTAAAAAACTGCTTGAAAATCCTTAAAAATCACTAACTCCAATGAATTTGATTTTCAAAAAAAGGCATTTGAATAAATTTTATAGAAAAATTCATGGAATTTGGTAATTAATTGACTTACATTAGTTAATTGACCCCATCCATAAGGTGCCATGGAATTATTGATGTAAGGATCCTCGGGATAAGTATCGACAGGTGCCCTCTCCCCATGTCGCATCAGCTTTAATCAAAATTTCTGCATTTTTGCATTTTCTTCAAAAAATCAAAGAACATGAAATAATCAGTTAAACAAGTGGACGACGTAATATATCACAACAGTTATCACAACTACTATCAAAACGGTCAGGATAATATAACGAGCGAATCCCAGTAACAGGAAAAACATTTCGGTTTATAGTCCCTCCAATACTGCGAATATTGCCCCAATTGAATAAACAATGAGTGGACGTTGTTTCATTAATAAAACAGCAACACAAATCTGAAAGATGACGAGTCGATTCGCCTGATCGGGAAGTTGTCGCGGGATATCTCTGGATCTAAGAGAGATACCGAAATTTTCGTTATCACCTTTTCGGCAGCTCTGGATCTGCTCCATAAAAATGATCTTATGAAAAATTCTCCTATCTCTAATAGATTCAGAGATAATCCTCGAAATGTCATGTTGTTACTCGCACCTGTTCGGTAATTAATTATATCCTCGAGATTAATGATTTTTTACTTACAATTGTCACTTGTCGCAATGTTTCTTGGTCTACCGAACCCCCTCGAGGGTCTGGGTCTCGAGAAACCGCTGCTGGAGCCCCTGAAGTGATTAATTAATTATTGTCTTAATTATTCTATTTTAAGTGTCAATTTCTTAATTATTTTGACTAAAAGTGTCTGGAATTGCCCGCAGGTAGTACCAAAAACTGCGAAATAGAGTTTTTCGAATTTTTTGAACATGAAAACACAATTTTCATTCGAAAATTTATTAATAAATGGGAGAAATCGGCGCAGCCGGAGCTTCAGCGAACTTTATCAATAATTATGCCTCTGATGGACTCTGGAGACGAGTGCAATCGCCAATAATTGAAAGCCAAAAAAAATTGCGATTTTCCGCATTCAATGACGCCGGGGATTCGATAAAAAGTTCACTGGGGTCGAGATTCGATACTTGAACGAGTGGTAGATGATTGTTTGTGAATAAATTATAAGGGAATACTCTGAAACCGAATAATCATTGCTAATTGGATAAGAAATCATTGCACTTCTGGAGTGCCAACAATTCGTTATTTATTTTTGCTGAGTTCTCCTACTGTATTTTCATCCGCTTCTCATAACATAATCCGAAGAAAAACCGATAAACGACTCCAAAGAATTCTTATTAAAAAATCAAAATTTAAACTCTCGATGTGACGACTTTTAATTAAAAACAAAAATTTAATAAATAAACGTAATTTGTCAATAAAATTCTATTATTTAAATTTCTAATTCTCCAGAATTCCCAGAGAGATTCCGATCTATTAATGAAACAATTAATTAATTTATTATTCAATTCCATCAATTGATTTTACAAATCGAAATCTGTAGGTAAGTATTAAAAATCGTCAAGTTCAGAGGGAAATATCTCCGGAACTACTCCAGATACCGAAATTTTCGTTAAATTCTTTTTTGTAGAGCCAATCGAGAGCTAGAAAAACTGTGATAACTATTTTTTCGCTACCTCCCTTGGTTTCGCAGATATTTTGAAAAAAGCGGTGAGGGAGCGGTGAAGGAGCCGAGACACTTGGGTGTGCGACAGTTTTTTAATCTCTGAGTTTTGAAATTCATTTAAATAAATAAAAAATCACTGACCTTCAGCAATATTAATAACTGCAAGCCACGTGTAGACAACCCCAGCCCCCCAAAGCGACGAGAGGCCCCTGTACATGATCCTCTTACCCTCAGAATGAATCTTTTTCCCGCAAAATCCACTGGTACGACAATCAGACTTCTCCATTATTCCTTCCAGTATTTATCACCAGTCTATCCCTGGAGGGGAGAATATCCAGAATCAATAAATCTTGAGAGATCGAATAAATTCTAATCCGAAGAGCGAAATAAAAATGAAAACTGACAACAAAACGATTCCACTGAACCGAGTCTTTCCTGCACTCACCATTTTTAATAAACAATCCCATCTGACGTAACAACAGTTATGCAAGTAAAATTGTTCTTATCGTAAACAAGAATGTATAAATGTATGGAGAATTTGTATATTTTCAGCTCATGTCTGAATTGCCTGGGATTTTTAAAGTGATGCACAAAGAACTCATTCATCTCGACTGCTCGACCAGAAATATCTCGATGAATTATTCAATGGACATAATTCAATGATAATTGTCAATATTTTTTTCAATGGACATATTCGAGTCATCGTGTCAGTTCGGTTCATGAGCACGTGGACAAGTACTCGTGACTGGGACAATTACCAGCACTCGCTGTGGGGGTAATTGCACAGTACTTGAATTTTTTTTCTCCAGAGGGTAATTGTCTCTGGATAATAATTCAATTAAAAAATATAAATAAATACTCAATATCAAACAATTTCATACATTTCTTCAATTTATTAATTGTATCATTGTTTATGATTAAATTATTATTGTGAAAAGAAAATTTATCTTTGTTATTAATTAAAGATAGTGGAGATGTAGAAATAAATGGAGTAATTTTTAATTGAAATATAAATTTGTCTTTGTGGATAAAAAAATTGATAAACGGCGTAAAAATAAACATAAAAATTGCGGTAAAAGTGGAAAAAATTCCGGTTTTTTAATTGTTTATTGACTATAAATTATTTGGTCATCGGACACGTGAATATGAATGGTTAAATGAAATATGGGACGTGAGACAAATAAAAATTTCTATTTACGAGAGGATGAGACAAGACACTTCCCACATCTTTTTAAATATTTATAACTGGAATTGTTATTCAGAGATTGATTAATCGCGTCGAGTCTGGATTCAAGAAAAAATCTTATTCTCCGTTTATTCCGACATTAAAAATTTTAATCATTACGAAAATTATCAGAGGAAAATCGCGGTTGGAATGATTTTCAATCGCGAAATTAATTAATTCACCCCGAGTGTTGAAACGAATATTTATTTATAAAAAAAGTGTCTGTAAATGTTGATTTTTATTTAAATAATTCAGAGTCAAATAATATTTCTAAAAAACTATAAACATTTGATAAAAATTCAGTTTCCCCGAAAATTCCAACAGAATTTCGCAGATAATTTCATTACTAATCAATTAATTATTAACAATTCATTTTAGTTATCAAGTAATCTAGTGAATAGGAGAAAATAATTAATGAATCATTGATTAATGATTCATTCATTTATGGAAGAATTATTGTTAGTGTTCGATGGAATCGAAATGTTATTATTAATATTTAAAAAAAATCGATGCGATCGTCAATTCCACAGAGAAAATTCGATCCTCACTTGTCTATTAATTGCCCTGGCAACACGAGGCATCCGCACACCAGTCGATTAATTTCAATCGAATAATCTCACTCCCCAATTAATTGATTACAAATTGAGGGGTAGTTCATTAAATCCATCAATCGTGGATCGGCCGAGTGATACAGGAGGTCAGAACTTGGCCTCCAAGACCACCAGGAAATCGCGACGACGCAAACCTCGCAGCACCAGCTCCAAGGTCAATCCAACGATTTTATCATAGCATTAATTAAAAATTGATTTTTTCATGATTTTTCCCCATTTCAATTATGAAATTCTCTGGCAATTGCACACGTCGTCCCGCGGATTTAGAGGATTGGATTAAATCTGGAGGAAATTGCGACGAAAAAACATTAATTGACGGCAATTATTATTCTTTATCAAAAGTAATTAATTGATTACTCCAATTAAATCACGGAAAACCTTGAGTTAAAATGGATCTAGAGAATTGCCTCAATCACCCGAAAGGGAATTAAAATTTTTATTTTATTATCAATTTAAAAATCGAATCGATACAGATGAATTAGTTTAATTAATGTCCTCAATTTTCCACTTAACTAACAAAAAAAATCGGATTTAAAAATGAATAAAATAACTTAAAACTAATTAAAATTGGATTTAAAAAACTGAATATATTATATTTCATAAAAAAAATATAAATACCTCTCCCTCCCCAGAATATTTAAAATAAATAAACAATACACATTTTTCTTAATTTACTCCAATTAATTAATTAATCAAATCCTAAAAATCATGCGATAAAACTAATTTAAAAAAAATATTCATGCATTCATGTGACGAAAATGAATTTTTCGAAGACCTAAAATTAAATAAAAATGTAAATAAATATTACCTGAAAAAAATTGATTGATAAATGACGTCAATTGGATCCAGGCCCGAGCAATGACGAATTCCTCAGGGGAAGGTGTTCGTGAGACATCGAAATCGAGTGATCATCCAGCGATCTCCAATTCAGCTCATCACATACAGACACGAAACAGCACTACCTATGGACATACCACGATGCGACCCAGATCCCTGTACACCACTCACAGCTTTACACCACAAGCGGATAATACTAATTTTCAAGTTAGTGCCAATTTATTTATTTATACATTTATCATTTATCTCACCCCCCCCAGTGGCTCCCAAAAATTCAAGAGGGAGATTAAGTCTGAGGAACGCGTCATCTCCGGGGAATTAATCTATTATTCGTAATTGATCGATTCAGGGAATTGATGTTTATCAGGATCATCATTAATCACTCGAGAATTACGTAAAGACGTGGATAATTGAATGATAACTTATCGCTGCGTGCTATCATCTGGAGTAAATAGTAGCGAGGAAATCACGTTTTTGTCGGGTGGTCAACGGCACCTGCCGCGATTGTTGTTTATCTTTGTTTATCATCGTGTCAAGGAATTATTTATGGATTTATTATGGATCTGGGGTAGGATGAATTCGGGGAAATTACAGGTGGGAGGAATTATTTCAACGGAAATGACGAATTGAATAAATTTCCTTGCAATTATTTTTTTTACTAGTTCCTTTCGATTTGTTTTTATCTCTTTTGTTAATGGATTTGTTGTTGATGGATTAATTGGGGGAATTTGTTTTCCGAGTATATCTGAATCTTAGGAATTTTTTAAAAATTTGTTCTCCAGCGTTATCCAGAGTTCTCCAAGTTCCTGGAGACGCCTCCTGGGGAGCAGTGGCACAATGTACCTGGGGGTGTGGGGTCGTACCCCAATGCACTTCCTTGGCGTTCCAGGAACTCCAAGACGTCGCAGTATTACCCGGAGGATAATTACCAGGAGAACTGGAGGGATCCTGAGACGTCCGAAGGAACTGTTGGAGCTGTTGCCACGCCACATGGAACCATTTCCCTTCGACTTCATAACAGGATCCGAGTGGATATGACCATTGATAGAGCTGTCAGGGTCATCAACTTCAAGGTAATCATCAGGAAACATGAGAAAAAAAATCTATCCACTTCCCTGAGAAAAATATCAAAAACTCAAGTAGTCATCCTCAATTTCTCATTTTCAACGAGATTTTCCTGATGAAGGAATGACTCTAGGATAAAAAGTGATAAAAAATTTTAATTAGGAAATTTCGCCAGTCACAAAAAAGGTGGAATAATACTTTTTGTAGAAATGATTGTTTCTGAGATAATCGGGATATTGTCGATGATTGATTGTTCGAGTAACAGTGGATTATCTTCAGAACAACATCGTGCTGTCCCTGAACGGTTCGGGTTCCGCAGCAGCTTTGCTGCATCCGAATGGACGAATCTATCAGTACGGATCACGTGTGGAGATATTGGCACACGATTCCCACGGGAACAACAAGTTCGTTACCCTCAATTATCAAATTCCATCGATTCTAATCGATTTGATTATCCAGGTACGCGAAGATGTGGTACAAGGGTGTGAGTTTTACCTCTGAACAGTGCGCTCTGGTCTACCTCGTGGATTCTGCAGGCACGAGGACAACCACTGATTCCTTCTCCGATATGAGTCAGGTAAAATGGAAACGGAAACGAATTTCGTGGTGAAGGCGTTGGACTTCAATTTATCAATTTTTTCTCCAGGATTTCTCCCTGAGTGTCTTCTACTCAGAGTCTCGTCATGGTCCAGGATGTCTTCAGGAGGCGACAGCAGCCCTGGGTGCGGCCCAGTACTGGCTGACAGATGAGGGTGTCGAGAATTGGATGATAAATAACGTGAGGATCTCTCAGACACCTGATGGTCTCGTCAGGATCGCTCGTAACAGCAACAAGTATCAACTGAGAACTTCTCCCAGCAATGGAACTGCTTCCTTGACGACGCCTTTCCTCCACTGCACAGCATCCCTCGGTCAGACATCTCATCTCTTCGTCAGAAGGGGTGAAAGGAGAATGCATTACGATGGCACGAGCTTCATCGTCAGAAATGCTGGCCACAGTGCCGGCTTCGATGACAACAATCAGCTCAAGGTTTATTGAGGCCCCAGGGCTCAGTGGTCAACCCATCCTCTCTCTGAAAAGATTCACTGAAACCTAGAGAATTTTTATTAGAAATTTTACTGGATTTCTATAGAAATTTCTCACAAAGGGAATCTTTTAGTGGAATTCTTATGAAAATTGCAGTGAAATTTTCTGTTCAATTTTTGGCTATTTTATTCTCTACGGGAAAAATAAGAAAAATATTATAATTGTACGAAGAAATTATCGTGAATTATGCATTACTGGACCTCTAGATTTTTCTGAAAATGTTAATTAATATTACGGATGAGGGATTATCAATAAACTAATTTTGTTCTATCAACTTTTCATTTTATTTCTCAAATACAAACTCTGTGTTAAAATATTCAATACAAAAAATTAAAACTACAAAATGCGAAATTTAAAAAAAAAATGATAAAAAACAACTACTAAATACCTAGACAAAAAAATATCAACAAATTGTCTACAAATTACAGATATCCGGTAAAATCTCCGATGGTAGTGGCAGAAATTCTGAGCAATCCACAAAACAAAAACCAACAAGAAAAAAAAAACAATTTCAACAACAACTAGGACAATGGTACCCCCTGAAGTTGTCTTCAAATGGTCAACAAAATTTTAAGGTTAAATCGACTTGTCCGTTTGTTATTTATCCAGTTCCCCGCACAATTGTGTTCATAATCCTCGATACATGAAGTTTTAGGGGAGTATACCAATAATAAAGTATTGTTAAAGGTCAGGGGAGGCATTCCGAGGATTAAAACAAATCGGGGGAATTTTATTCCTGTGATTTCTGAGGTGTCGAGGTAGTATGACAAGTGGAGAGTAGATTTGGGGTTATTTGCGGTGGACTTTTGGTGTTGAGGGCGGTATCGAGGAGAGTCATCATCATGGCACAGCAGAAAAATTTCCAGGAAGAGGTTGTCAAGGAGATCAGGACACTGCTGTGGGGAAATTGCCCCAAAGATGATGTTTTTCAGAGATGGGCACAAGGTGAGAGGTTGGGCTGGGGCTTCGGCTGAGAAAAAAAAAATGTTCACCCATCATCCTTCCATCATCCAGCCTTTTTCCATTAAAATTCCTCCGAAATTATTGAGCGTCTCCATTCAACCCCACCATAAATTACTCTGATTATATTTATTTGGTATTCATGGGCTTTTGTTGATTTCAGGTTTTCAATTCTCCCAGGACGAGCCAACCGCCCTTGTTCAGGTGGAGGGAGGACCCTGTGCAGTTATAGCACCTGTTCAGGCCTTCATTCTCAAGGATCTGTTGCTGGAGGGGCCTCTAGACACGTGGAAAAATATAACGACTGAGAAACAGAATCGTCTGCTCGTCAGAGCTGCCACCGAGATCATCGGACAGGCAGCAGATCCTATCAATCAATCCTACTCTCTGATTTATCTTGATAATGATAATGGGGACAACCCAATGGTTAATGGAGAGGTATCGACTGAGGAGGCACAACCCTTTAACGCAGATTATTTCCACTCTCGCCTCAGGTAAAACCATGGAAAGTCCACTAAAGTCCTCAAGTCCTCAGTACAACAAGAATTCCTTCCTCCAATTTTTTTTTTACCTCTTTTGTACAATTCAGGAGCAAAGAAATAAAGATTGACGATTCGATTCGTTCTTCAGTTAGTTTTCGAGGGATATCTCTGGATCTAATGGAAATATCGAAATTGTTCTTATGACCTATTTTGTAAAGTGGAATGAGGACTATGGAAGATGTCTTTATGAAAATTTCGGTATTTCTGATGGATGAAGATATATTTGTACTTGAGTAATTGGGGAATCGATCTGTTACACTTTATTCTTTCGTTACTGAATTTCTGGGGGTTTTTGGTGGCTCTTTCAGGATATCCGCAGTAGTTTCCCTCGACGAAGTGAAAAAATACTTGTCCCAGAGGATAGAGAGCCTCAAGGAGCCGTTCGGGGTGTTACTCCTGCTTTATACTGTCGTTTGTACCAAAGGAATCAATGGGATGAAGGGTGAAATGTCAGATCCCACTGAACCAGTGATTGATTCGATTTATGGGTATGGCAGTCAGAGTCTCATCAATCTGATGCTCACAGGAAGGGCTGTCAGTTATGTCTGGGATCATGATCAAGATATTGGAGGACTACGTGAGTCCACAAAATCCAAATAATTAAAATCATTCAATTAATCAGAATTTTTAAAAATTAACCCACATTTTGTCTCACGCATGACAAAATTGAATCCAAAGGCCTTCGGTACAACTTTTTCCTATTAAATCAAATGATATAAAATGATATGAAATTATAATTAATGTAATATAAAATAAAATGGGGGAGAAATGGTAATATCTTATAGAAATGATTTTGTTTGATTTGATGTTCTGTAGAATTACGAGGGATTGACAAGCAAAATACGGTGGGTTTTCTGGCCCTCCTGGAGCACCTCCGCTACTGCGAAGTTGGAGCATTCCTCAAATCCCCGTCCCACCCAGTCTGGGTGCTGGGATCTGAGACACACCTCACAGTTCTGTTCTCATCGGACCGAAGGCTTGTGAGCCCTGAGACACTAGCAGAGTACGCCAGGAGAGTCTTCAAGAAGTACGACCCTGAGGGGAATAATTTCATACCCGCTAATCTACTCCAGGACGTTCTGGCTGACCTAGAACTCGTTGCTGATGACGAATAGTGCGTATTCTCATTTCACTTCATTCAATTTCGATAAAACTGAAAATTATTTCCTTTTCATTCAATCGTTGATTATCATTCGACCTTTAATTATTTTCAATTATCCATTCAATTCATGGGAAATTGATGGATAATTGGCTAATTGGATGGTAGAAATAATTTTTTAATGGTTGTGGAAATGTTTTAATGCAATGAATATTTTTTTGACTTCAGTGTTGACATAATGAAGAAAAAACTGGACAATGAGTCCCTTGGGATTATCCTCCTTGCCTCGTTCATGGACGAATTTTTCCCTGAAGAGCCTCGCACGTGTCCAGACACCTTCACACTCTATCACTACAATGGTTTACCTCGTTCAAACCCAGATAATCGTGTACGTTACCACACTGGCGATGCTGTACTCCTCGAGTGCACAGTGAAGTGCATTCTGGACAGCAATCCCATGCTCACAGTCCTCCAGACCAAGTGGCCGAGCATCGAGGTCCAGTGGGACATCGGTAGAACACCAAGTCTTAATTAATTCGATTAATCCAGGAGGTTTCATCTTTTTTTTTGTTCGTTTGACTGATTCAATTTGTTTTTACATATCCTGATATGTGTCATTGTCTCGGAAATCGATGGATTAAGATGAAAAAAATATTGATGATTTCTTGTGGGAATTTTAATCTTCATTTTTATTCTCTTATCCATCCTTTTCTGAGATAATTGACGAAAACTTATCGATTTCGTGTATATGACGTTCAATTGATTTCAATATTACCTCAGTACCGAGGATTCCAATTGGGGAACGTGTTGAATATCTTTTAATTGGAAATCTATTTTCTCCGGAAAGTTTCTCCACATTTTTTTGACAAAACCGAGTGTTTACTGGATATTAACGAAAATCTTGCATAAATCAAATTGCATAAATCGAATTGAGGAATGTTTTCTTCACTCGGTGGACTGGAGGATATTTTTTGAAAATTAAAAAATCACGCATCGAAATTGCAATAATTCATGGACAATTGAATATTCAGTGGAACAGAAAATAAACAGTTCTACTCCCTGATTAATTCACGAAAAGACACATTTAAGAATTTTACTTTCGCTGAGAACGATAGAAAAAAATCGATGGAAAATAATGAACTGTGAATATCGTCGAATGCTTAATTGCATAGATTTATTAAATTAATAAATTAATTAATACATACATGATAAATATACATATAGTACATAAAGAATAGAAAAAATATGAAAGGGAGCCTTCGTAATTGATAATTATCGTTAAGTAAATGATCAATTATTCACTGAATTATTTAAATAATACGAGAACATGCTATTCCATGTTTTGAACCAGTGTCGGATCGTAGCTTTCAAGGATCAAACTCTCCTCGTAGTTTATTTATTCAACTCTCGTGTACATTTTCTTTATTTTCATATATCGAGGTATTAACTGATCACCATTTTGGTTTAATTATTTGAACATTCAGTGCTTAATTCAGTAGTTAGTGGGTCTATTGCACATTCAGAGGATGAAGACGAGATTAATCTCGTATTTTGTTAATTGTTTTTGGAATTGTCATGATGAGAAAGTTATTAAAACTAGTTTAATATCAATGCTTTTTGTGTGATTATTCACCCTGGAATGGTTTTTGCTCAGCGATAAATTAATTAAAATTCCTCATCTTTTACTCAACAGTGCAATTATTCACTCGAAATCATCAGGAACTATTGAACGAGGTATCGTATACGTATTACCTAGAGAAAGATCTTTGGTAACATTCGGCAAAAGCTCTTCGTCATTCGCCTAAAACTTTAACAATCAATAATATGTTTTTAATTATCTAGAGGCAATTCTCGAGAGCTCAGAAGATTATTCGCTACAACTCTCGTCAATGGGAATGTTTCGTTATCGTGGCACGTGCCATTCCAGTCGTCAGTATTCAGGGAGAGGATCATCGCTCCCCTGAAGCCGTTCAGCTTAATCCATTCCACCTAGAATAAAATTGATAATAATTCAAATACTAGTTCATAAATTCATGAATAATTTATTCAATTATCTCACCTTCTCCATGACGCTGACTTGATCATCAAAGCTGACCCAGTCATGCTTGCCATATGCATAAGGAGTTCTGCTGTCCTCATCAAAAACTTTGGAGCCCCCTTTCCTGATGAACTCACAAACTTCTCGGTAATTGGTAAATCCCATTTCCCCGAGGCTTCCAAAACCCTTAGCAGGTGCCATTATCCCGTGATTCTGCTCGTTATCCAGCTGGAATGAGTGGCCATACGTGGGAATGCCCATCACAATTTTCTCCCGGGGCATTCCCTTGGAGATCCAGTAAAACGCCGAGTAATTGACGTTCAGGGTAGCAGAGTATCCCATCTCCAGGGGATTAGCGTACAGAGGAGCATTCAGCCCAGTTATTGGAAGATACCATACATAATAATGATAATCATAAGACATCAAGTTGATGAAGTCCACGTGTTCTGCGATCTGGGGTACATTGTAGCTCTCGTCGATGATTGCTGCAGGTGCAGCAACTGCTACCGAGAGAATTAATTCTCTACCACTTTTGTCAAAAGCTCGTCTCAGCTCCTGCAGAAGCTGAACGAAATAAATTCTCTCTCGTTCCTTGCCCCCTAGCCATGCAGGGAATTCCCAATCGACGTCGAGCCCATCCAGGTTGTACATCCTGGTGATGTTGAGGATCGAATTGATGAAGATCTTTCGATTTGCGTGGGTCTTCACCATCTCGGGGAAGCCAGAGTCAATTTCGTTGATGCCACCGGCTGATATCATCGTCTTGAGCTTCGGAAATTGCTTCTTCAGGGCAGATATCTCGGTGTAGATACTGGGAAAGGGACCTGGGGACAATCTGCTGTTCACCACGCTCGCAAAACCCACGATAATATGCGTACAAATACGAGGGTCAAGGTCCGACGGACGGAGATCTCCCGACGCGTTCAGGAATCTCGGTAATGTGTAGTAGCAGACGACGAGCGGGTCAGAGGGGCTGTGGGGTGAGATGTTCGGCATTGCGTCAAGGGTTGAGTTCCTAGAGCGAACATAATCAAAATAACAACCTCTCTGGAAAAATTCTGGAGTCTCCAGAGAGTGTATCAAAAATATCTCCGAAATTAAGGCAGATAGCGGAATTTTCATGAAAATCTTTTTTGAAGACCTAAGTCACAATTACAAAAAAGGTTATTATAAAAATCTCACTATCTCCGTCCCTTCCGGAGGTATTCCCCAAGAACTCGTCGGGGACTTGGGCTCACTTATCTCGTTTTTATTATAAGATAAGATTAACGGCAATAGCGAGGAATTTTCGAGGGATAGCCGAATTTTGGTTATGACCTTTTTTGTAGCTCTTGTTCCCCTCTACAAAAAAGGTCGTTACAAAAATTCCGTTATCTCTGTCCTACGCAGAGATATTCCCTGAAAGCACACTCTCATCGATACAAACGAAAATAAATTTACCTGTCAACATTTTGGTTCTCCTTCGCCGATTCGGCGTACATCCTAGCCCTGCGTGTCCACGCAAAAGTCTTGGCATCTCGAAAGGTCCCTGATTTCTCCCTGAATACCACCTGGTGATTCCTGGCCAGAGTTCCCTGGACGTCGATCCAAATACCACCGATGAGAAATAAAAATCCGATAACCAGGAGTGGCAACGTCAGACACACAAGCCTGCTGCACCTCGAGTGCTTTCTAAAACATTCAACATCCACCCTTATCTCCTCTAATTATAGATTATAATCAATAGGATCTGGTGAAGGTCAGGCGATAAAACAAATATATCTCTCTCACGGTAGAATAACCGCATCTGCACAAAAGAGGCGATTTCTCCAAGAAAAATTATAACGCTCAGGATTATGATGTTATCTTCATTATTATTAAATAATTGTTATCATAAATTATCAGTTTATATTAGATCGATTTATTGATGATTTACTCACGGAATTACCGCATTCAACAACTCGTATTTAGCTTGAGGAATTGGGATTTGATGAACCATTGATTTTTCATTTAAAATTAAAGAAAATTATTGAATTGTTATCTAATAATTGAGGAAATGACGGATGACACGTTGTTGTTGTCCAGGGGCTCAAGGAGATGTGATTGTGGGTCAATAACGAGTGATCAAAACACTGGAGTCATGACGGGTTCTGTCACACAACAGGCGGTAAAATTCAAACGTTGGACTCGACATTCTCCATTTTTATTTTCACTGCATTTTTCGCTTCACATTGCAGCCTTCAATTTAATAAAAAGCATAAAGAATTGATGGACATGTGTTTTTACAGGAGATTAGAGAAGAAATCCCAAGAAAATTCAAGACTGTTAAAATTTATTGAAAAGCCATTTTGCTGTTATAATTGTGATTAGAAGAAGTTGATAGGTGGAATGGAGATAGAAATTTATCCGAGATTATTTATAATTGAGTGGAATAACAAAATGGAATTGTTACGGAGGGAAAAGGTGGGATTTTCAAATAAATTAGGGTTGTAATGTGGCGCCAGGGTGGCACCAACCCGGCATTAACGAGACGCTTGTCTCAATATGGCGTCAATATTGTCTGATGGTGTTCTCGAGAGTCAGTTGCACTTCATCCCACAGTCCACGATGTTGTGCACCAATTGCCCAATTTATCCCTGAAAAAATATCTGTGGAGAACCAACGGATATGATCGAACAGAGACTTGACAATTTTCTTCACTAATTAATGGCCGAAACAAACCCCTAAAAATGAAGCTGAAGTGGATTTTCACGGGCAAATGAGTGACACCGAAGTGAAGGGATAAATTTTTCATAAAAAAAAAAGAAGAGATTGTGCAAGGATCAAAGATTCTACTTGATATCCCACCGTTTAATTAATCACCATGGATTACTTACACCGAATTATTATTCTGCTGCTGTCTGGCGTTGCTGGAGGGGGTGAGTACAGAGATTACAATTGTAAACAATTTATCACCGGTAAATGAAGCAAATCGAATTACCCGCGGGGCATCTTATCTTCGCCGTTGATTTTATCAATTAAAAATCTATCTATTATCGGAGTTATCGATACTACACCGTTCGTAGGATTTTTTCAATTCGATCTATCGATTGCTTTATTAATTTATCTCCCTGGAATTGCGATTGATTCGTTTTTTAAATGATGAGAACTCATTCGATTTGAACAATTTCACGAGTTCTCGTGCAAAAATCGGGGTTAATCAGGGGAATTAACAGTTTTTCTTAATTACTCGATTATCTCGAAAATAGTGGATTTTACGAGAAAATGGTGGGAGAAGATTTTGTTGCTGATTAAATTTCCGAGAAGAAAGGTCTCTTAATGTTTTTTTGTAAAATCAATAGTTTCGGAGATTAATGAGGATTTGGAAATTAAAAATTCCAGTCGTCTCACTCGGCTGTTGAATTATTTCATGTGTCTGTGCTGATTAAATTTTCATTAGTCTTTCGAGTTTTCATCAAGGAACAGAAGATAAGAAAAGTTTAGTTGGAAAAATAATTTTCCAGTTGTTTTTTTTTTTTTTCATTTGAGATGAATCTTTGATGATCCTGTCTAGATTGCGGGGCGACGAACTTTGTATTTTATTTGTTTATCCTCTTTTTGCTCAGGATATTGCTGAGGGGGTGGGAGATGGGGGAATATTCCTTGGGGTCTTGGGGGGTATAAAATTTCAGCACTATTGATGCAACTGGATGCACATTGCGCCATGCGGGATGACTAAGGGTATGTTTCCGTGAAATCGATTTCCACCCCCTGTTCACCCCCTTCCAAATGTACACAACAGAAAGACAGAAGGTGTTTTCAAACGGGAATGAAAGTATTTTGTATCGAGCGGAATAAACGTAGAAAGGGGATATCCGATTCTCCCCCTCGACGACTAGCTATTTCTCATTACTCATTTTCCCGTTCGATTGATCGATAAACCCGGGGATAAAGCCGAATAATTAATTTAATGAACGGAATTCAACGTCTCGATTCATCTTATTTCTCGATACAATCACGGAGTAA